AAAAAAAAAAAAAAAAAAAAGATAAGGAAAGCACATTACAAAGGTTGTTCAATAGGAGTGACTTGTACAAACACAAAACATAACGGAAACGAGGCTTTTTGTACACAACATACCTAAAATTGGAAAAGGAAAGCAAGCACGCAAGTAAAAGAGAACATTGCTTACTTAGGCACGGAAACAATGAGCCCATTGGAGGGAACGATCACAATCTGACCCACCGCATCCGTTGGACTTGTCAGAAAAAGTAGCTAGAACGAAGGAGCCATTGTCAGAATGTGTAGTTTGTCTAGCCTGCAGTGGGGTACTCTATAGTTAGTACGGCTCCTTAGGGTTTCCTATGTGTATCCACCTGCTTGCTAGTTCAACCCCTTCTCCTTGCAACAATTTTCTCGACTCCCGTTGGCCTAGGCTACTAAGCCTAGGCCCTACTCCTTCTATTTAACATGGTATTCAGAGCAGGCACCTTCCTGCTGCCTTCCTTAACGGGCCCACCAGTCTGCTTCCGCTGCCTGTCGTCCTGTCGCGCGCCTCGGGCGCGCGGCGTCGTATTTTCCTCGCCGTGCGCCCTGGGAGCGAGGCGGTTTTCTGCCCGCCGTGCGCCCCGAGGCGCACGGTGTCGTCCTGCCCTGCGCGCGGCCTGCCCTCACGCCGCCTGCGCGCCTGCCCCACGTCCGCGCGCGGGCCTGTTCTGCCCGCCCGTACCCTGCCCGTCGCGGCGCCCTGCGAGGCGCCGCTCCTGCTCGTCGCGAAGCCCCTGCGGGACCCGTGCGTCGCCGCTCCTGCTCGTCGCGACGCCCCTGCGGGACCCGCGCGGCGTCGCCCTGCTCGTCGCGACGCCCCTGCGGGACCCGCGCGGCGTTGCCCCTGCTCGTCGCGGCGCCCCCTGGGTGCCGTCCCTGCTTGTCGCCCCCCCCCCCCCCCCCCCCCCCCCCCCCTGGCCGCCGCCTCTGCCTCACCTGCGCCCGCGCCTGCTTTGCAGCCGTGCGCGGGCCTGCCTTGCACCAGCGACGCCGCCCCTGGAGCAGCCGCCCCTGGACCCAGAGCAGCCGCCCCTGGCCCCTGGAGCAACCGCCCCTGGAGCAGCCGCCCCTGGTGCAGCCGCCCCTGGACCTCTGCAGCCGCCCCTGACCCCTGGAGCAGCCGCCCCTGGTGCAGCCGCCCCTGGTGCAGCCGCCCCTGGACCCGCGACGCCGCCCCTGGACCCTGCGGCGCCGACCCTGCAGCTGCATGCGACGCCGCTCCTGGTCCCGGTGCAGCCGCCTCTGTGCTACCCGTTGCCGCCCGTTGCTGCCCGTGCCTGTGCTGCCCGTTGCCGCCCGTTGCTGCCCGTGCCTGTGCTGCCCGTTGCCGCCCGTTGCTGCCCGTGCCTGTGCTGCCCGTTGCCGCCCGATGCTGCCCGTGCCTGTGCTGCCCGTTGCCGCCCGTTGCTGCCCGTGCCTGTGCTGCCCGTTGCCGCCCGTTGCTGCCCATGCCTGTGCTGCCCGTTGCCGCCCGTTGCTGCCCGTGCCTGTGCTGCCCGTTGCCGCCCGTTGCTGCCCATGCCTGTGCTGCCCGTTGCCGCCCGTTGCTGCCCGTGCCTGTGCTGCCCGTGCCTGTGCTGCCCGTGCCTGTGCTGCCCGTTGCCGCCCGATGCTGCCCGTGCCTGTACTGCCCGCTGATGCCCGTGCCTGTGCTGCCCCTGCTCCCCCCCCCCCCCCCCCCCCCCCTTCTTCGTCTCCCTGCTACGCGTGCAGCCGTGGAACGGAGGGTATGGGGGTGGCGGGTATGGGGGTGATGGGTGTGTGACCCGTCCCCGGCTCCCCCTCCTCCTCTGTCTCCCACTGCTGCAGCTGCTGCTGAGGGGGGTGGATGTGTGGGAGCCGTCGGAGTGGTGCATGGGGGGTGGAGTGTGAGTGGAGCCAGGGGTTCAGCAGGGGGTGTGTGAAAGGGGTGTGGGACAGTTGGGGGAGGTTGAGTGGAGGCAGCCGTCTTGTCGTCCGCAGCGCCTGTAGTCCGGGGCCCTTGCCGCTGGTAGCCCAGAGAGCCTGCTGCGCCTGTCGCCCGTGGGTCCGTTGCTCCTGCCGCTCGTCTTAGCCGCGGAGCCTGTTACTCCTGTAGTCCGGGGCCCTTGCCACCGGTAGCCACTGTGCGCGCCGCTCCTGTTGCCCGTGTGTCTGCAGCTTCAGCCGTCGCCTCCCATCTTCTCTCCTCTCACAGTTCCTCCTCCTCCTCACTTGCCCTCTGTGATAGCCTCTAGCTTTGCTTATATTTATGAACTAGGAACTGTTGCTTGTTGTGCTGATCATACCCCACTTTGACTATGGGGGTGTGTCAGAATGTGTAGTTTGTCTAGCCTGCAGTGGGGTACTCTATAGTGAGTACGGCCCCTTAGGGTTTCCTATGTGTATCCACCTGCTTGCTAGTTCAACCCCTTCTCCTTGCAACAATTTTCTCGACTCCCGTTGGCCTAGGCTACTAAGCCTAGGCCCTACTTAAACCTTCTATTTAACAGCCATAGCTAGGGTTTAGCTAGCTAGGCAAGAGAGAATAGGCAAAAGAGGGGTTTCACTAGCAAACAATGGGATACATATAGCAAACCCTAACAGGGCTGTACTCACTATAGAGTACCCCACTGCAGACTAGAGAAATATAACATTCTGACACACCCCCATAGTCAAAGTGGGGTATAATCAGCACAGCAAACAGTCGCAAAAGAAGTTCACAAGCACAAGCAGAGCTAGAGGCAGTCACAGAGGGCAAGTGAGGAGGAGGATGGACTGTGAGAGGAGAGAAGATTGGAGGCGGCGGCTGAAGCTGCTGGCACACGGGCTACTGGAGCAACTGGCACACTGGCTACCGGCCAAACGCACGAGGGCATCCGGACTACTGGAGTAACTGGCTCCGCGGCTACGACGAGCGGCTGGAGCATGTCAGAGGTCCACTGGTGATCCCCGATTGATCCTAGGGAAGGGTTACAGGCACGTTGGCTTGGGGGGTTATGGGCGCACTCACCCGCTACACAAATAAGCCCTTTTATCCCAGTGGTTAGTGGCTGGGATTCTGACAGAGCAACGGACCCACGGGCAACTGGCGCAACGGGCTCGCTGGCTACCGGAGCAAGGACACGACCTTCCCGGACTACTGGCGCTGCTGGCTCCACAGCGGCCACCTCCGTTCAACCCTCCCCCACTGTCGCAGACCCCTTTTCACACACCCCCCTATGCACCCCTAGCTCCTCTCCCACGGCACCCCCCTAGCGCCACTCCCTCGGCTCCCACTTATCCACCCCCCTCAGCGGCAGCTGTAGCAGTGGGAGACGGAGGAGGAGGAGTATGGGACGGCTCACACACGCGCCACCCCCATACCCGCCACCCCCATACCCCCAACGCAGGCGGCGCGCGCGCGCGCGGGGCAGATACGCGGGCAGCAGCTGGGGCGGCGTGCGAGCGGAAGCGGGGCAGCACGCGGGTCCCTGGGGCGCTGCGAGGGGCGACATGCCGGGCGGCGCGCGGGCCCCAAGGGCGCCACGACGGGCGACGGGAGGGGGCGACGCGCGGGCCCCCAGGGCGCCGCGACGGGCGACGGGCAGGGCGGCGCGCGGGCTCCCGGGGCGCCGCGACGGGCGACGAAAGGGGGCGACGCGCGGGCCCCCAGGGCGCCGCGACGGGCGACGGGCAGGGCGACACGCGGGCCCCCAGGGTGCCGCGACGGGCGACGAAACCGCCGCGCGCACCCGGGGCGCGCGGCGGGCAGAAAACCGCCACGCGCCCCGAGCGCGTGGCGGGAAGAAAAAACGTCGCGCGCGCCCCGTGGCGCCCGACATGCAGTATGGCAGCGGAAGCAGGCGGGCCCACAGGCCAGGAGCGTAACCGCTCTGATAGCATGTCAGAAACAGTAGCTAGAACGAAGGAGCCATAGCTAGGGTTTAGCTAGCTAGGCAAGAGAGAATAGGCAAAAGAGGGGTTTCACTAGCAAACAATGGGATACATATAGCAAACCCTAACAGGGCTGTACTCACTATAGAGTACCCCACTGCAGACTAGAGAAATATAACATTCTGACAGGACTGGCGAGGAAGTGATGAGAGGAGACAGATAGGTTCAAGAGAACGGCGGTGAGTGTGCGAGAGAGTGACTGCGAAAGAAATTAGACTACATGTGCAAGACAAGAGGCATGATGTGCATGGGAAGCATAGGAAGACGAATGCAGGAAGAAGTAGCAGCTGTGTAGGAGAGGAATTAATGGTGAGAGGGACATGCTGACTGCTCACCGAGTGCGGAAAAAAAAAAGAGAGTGTGAAGCTCCACTAATGCTCACCAGGTTACTTTTTGAGTCGACTCATTTGGACGCTACAATAGAACGGTGCCGGATGGTTCATTTTCTAGTTCGTACAATAACCTTTAGTGGCATAATATCCATGAAGATAATTAGGCACACACAAATTTCAGAGCAAGATAATTCCTATCAACTATGTTAGCAGCTGATCACTACATATGCATTACCGTATTTTAGTCATCGGAAGGAGAATAAAACATAAATAACAGAAAATGTTTGAGGCAGTGGCGCAAATGCGGTTAGTGAAATATGCTTTGCACCAAAACCTCCACTGCCACAGCTTTCACCGAAGCCGCCTCCACCCACACAGCTTCACCATCTAACAGCCCTTTAAGCTTCACTCTGGCTGTGAAGGGGGCCGGGTGTTCTGCAAAGCAGCTCAATCATCGCCAGTACGGCCAACACCATGCGTGGGCAAGCCGCAAGCCCCCTTCTCTTGCAAACGCCGTCAAATTTCGAAGGATAAACGTTAACCTGCTGCAGGAGTTTCCACAACTAGAAAATGGAGCATCCAACTTCCACTGCTGCTGCTGCTACTGCTGCTTCCAACTTTCAACCTCCGAGTCCGGTTTAGGAAATCTTGCGGGAAATCTAGAGGCTACATGAGGGCTAGAGACCAGTGGTGCGTGCTTGAGACATGATGATGAGGCATGCTGGAGCTGCAGCTACCCTGGCTTGAGTGCCCATCAAGCCTTGTTGGCATCGAAAACTGAGTGGCATATGGAGGATGACACGGGGAACGAGAGGGATAATGTGCGGGAGGGGGGGGAGGTGGGGGGGGGGGGGGAAGAGAGGGATAAGAAAGATGAGAGTGAGGGGGTTGAACGACAGGGATCGGCCACTGTTGTAGCATGGAGCGAGACACTAGAGCATGATATCACAATGAGTAGACCATGTTATCACAATGAGTAGAGCATGTTATCATAATGAGATTCTGGTGGTGACGAGGTAGAGCAACATGATGGAGAGTAACAGTATGCTAGGCGTGTGTCACTTTTGACAACTCTCAATGAACGATTGTAGCGGTATGCTATGCGCATGTGGACATGCACGGCATGAGCATGAGCATGAAACAACATCATCTTGTGCACGGGCATGTGTATGTGAGAAAAGAGCATGTTGCGAAACGGCATGAGTATGTATCCGAGGGCATGTTATGCAGAGGCATACTAAACGGGTGAGCACAGACTGGTGCAGCACAGAATGGTGCAGCACAGACTGGTGCAGCACAGACTGATGCAGCACAGACTGGTGCAGCAGAGACTGATGCAGCACAGACTGGTGCAGCAGAGACTGGTGCAGCACAGACTGGTGCAGCACAGACTGGTGCAGCACAGACTGGTGCAGCACAGACTGGTGCAGCACAGACTGATGCAACACAGCACATGGTACATGGATGGCTAGTTTCGAGTCGACCAAAAAAACAACACATAGTACATGGAGGGCAATAGTGGCGCCCCACTTAGCATGGAGTGTGTGGGTGGGGTGGGAGCGACTCACATGACATTATGGTGCCCCATACTGACTGGTTTTGATCTGCCAGAGAAGAGAGACAGGGTGCAAGGGATAGCGAAGGTGAGGGGGAGAGGAAAATGATCAATGCGATTGCTCATGACATCATGGCTCTCCATACTGACTGAGGAGAAAGACAAGGTGGGGGGGTCGTGGGGGTGAGGGGTTGAGAGGTTGAGGGGATGAGGCGGAGAAGGCAAGTCAGGTTTGAAATATTTCATGAGCGATGGTGGGAGAGAGACAAGTCAGTGTGGCCCCATACTCACTGGTTCTGGTCTGCTACAGGAAGAGGGGACTGAGGGGTCGTGGGAGTGAGGGGGTGTGAGGGGGTGTGAGGGGGTGTGAGGGGGTGTGAGGGTTAGGGGACGAGGGGGAAAGAGGCAAGTCAGATCTGAAACAGCTTAATGTAAGTGACGGTGCCCCATACTTGGGGGCCAGGAGGGACGAGGGAGGAGGAAAGAGGCAAGTCAGGCCTGAAAATATTTACGTTAGTGATGGTGCCCCCCATACTTGGTTGTTTTTGAGTCGACTCAAAAACAGTGATGGTGCCCCCCATACTTGGTTGTTTTTGAGTCGACTCAAAAACAGTGATGGTGCCCCCCATACTTGGTTGGCTATTGTCTGCCACAGGTGAAGTATTCCAATGGATGTAAGATCATTTTTTAGGCGCCTCAAAAACGACCTCAGTGGTCCAGTGGATGTAAGATCATCACATTCCATGCTACAAAAAAAAAAAAAAAAAAACAACGCTGCTTTATGTGCAGCAATGACTTTGTTTCTACCTTGGGTTGCCACCATTACCCATGTCAACATGAGTGTTATTATGCTTGCCAAGGTATGCCCATTTCCTTATCAGTAACGTTTCTACACTCATTTGAAACCAGCATGTGTGAGAAAGCTAGCGTGCACAAGCGTACTCAGCCACACTCCAACACCACACACCAGTTCCCACCACTCAGCTCCATTCAGCGATGACAGTACGACAGAGCCTCTTTCCTCTTCCTTAAACAAGCCAACCAAACCACCACCCCAACCCATCATACCTCCATACACCGATTGTAGTCACTACTCAAACGTCTCACAACCAGCTCCCTAGCCCTTACCTCCATTCACCGATCGCAGCACGGCAAGGAGCCTCTTCCTCTGCTCCTCCGAGGCCAGCAAACTCTCCGTGAGATTCTTCACCGTCTGCCTCTTAGCATCCACCATCGCCCCTCCTCCCAAGCCACTCACACCAAACCACACCAGCAACACCAGCAACACCACAAGCCTTACCTCCATTCACTGATCGCAGCACGGCAACGAGCCTCTTCCTCTGCTCTTCCGAAGCCAGTAAGCTCTCCGTAAGGTTCTTCACCGTCTGCCTCTTGGCATCCACCATCGCCTCCATGCCCTCCTCAGCCACCCTTCGCCCCTCCTCCGCCTCGTCCCTAGCTTCTTCCGCCGCTATCCTCCTCTCCTCCTCCGCTTCCAGCTCTTCTCTCAGCTTCCCCAGTTGCTCCTCCGCCTTTGACGCTCGTAGCTCCAAGGCTTGCCGAAGGAGTCGCATTTTCTGGACCTTTTCTTCGGCCTCGGCGAGACGGGCGGCCCATTCTGTCTCTTGTGCCTGCAGCAGCGCCTGCACCTCGGCTTCTGTTTTCATCCCAGCCATCTTCCCCTCAGCCTCGGCGAGACGGGCTTCCATTTCCTTTATCTTGCCTTCGGTTGCCTTTATCTTTGACTTCCCTTCCTCGTCATCCTCTTGCTCGTCGTCGTCCTTTTTCTTCTTCTTCTTTCCTTTATCCTTTTTATCCTTCTTATCCTTCTTCTTTTTCTTACCCTCCTTATCCTTCTTCTCCTTCTTATCCTTCTTCTTCTTCTCTTTCTTCTCCTCGTCATCCCCTTCCTTGTCACTCCCACTCTCGCTGCTGCTATCGCTGTCACTACTACTCTCACTCTTGTCACTCCCCTTCTCACTCCCCTTCTCACTCCCCTTCTCACTCCCCTTCTCACTCCCCTTCTCACTCCCCTTCTCACTCCCCTTCTCACTCCCCTTCTCACTCCCCTTCTCACTCCCCTCCTCACTCCCCTTTCCATCCTTCACATGGTTCAGCCCTGCACCAGCTTCCACCTCCCCCTCTTCCACTCGTCCCTCTTCCTCCTGCTCTTCTTTCCCTTCCTCAACCTGCAAGCCATTAGCCTCTACTACCGCTTCCCCCACTGCCGCTTCCACCTCTGCCTTCTCCTCTTCCATCCCATTCTCACCATCAACATGAATAGTCACAGCCTCCTCTTCCCTCTCCTCCTCACCCCCACCCTTACCTTTCTCCTCCGTTTCCTCCCCTTCCCCCGGTTCTCCCTCCAATTGCTCCGCACTCACTGTTTCCCCTTTCACCTCCTCTTCTGCTCCTTCCTCCACACTAGACTCACCACTCTCTCCTCCAACCCCCCCTGCCTCGGAATTTTCCTCCTCTTCCCCCTTGTCACCCTCCCCTGTCTCACCCTCCCCCATCTCTCCATCCTGTATTCTCTCCTCGTTTTCTTCACCTGCCCGTTTATCCTCCCCATCGCCGCCACCTGACGACACAGATGCCACGTCATCATTCTTCTCCTCCGCATCACCCTCTTTATCCCCCTCCGCCTCCTCCGCTGCCCCCTCCCCTTCAACCTCGTTGCTCGTTCCTGCAGCTGCCGCTTCACTTCCTTCTTCTCCTCCTTCTCCTCCTCCTCCTTCTTCTCCTCCTTCTCCTCCTCCTCCTCTCCGCTCTCCTCCCTCATCTCCTCCTCGATCTTCCTCCCCTTCCGCTCCCACTTCGTTTCTCACCTCCTCGCCATTTCCCTCCTCTTCTCCCTTCTCTCCATCTCCTTGTCCTCCTGCGCTCTCCTCCTCACCTTTCTCCTCCACCGGCTCGTCCCCTATGTCACCTGCCTTCGCCTCGTCCCCCACATCTCCCTCTGCCGCACTTGACTCCCCATCACTCGTTGTTCCCTCCAGTACTCCCCCTTCACCTGCACCAGCAGCATCACTCGCCTCCCCAGTTGCCTCCTCACTCGCCTCCCCACTCGCCTCTTCGTTGGTCTCCTCACCTGCTTCTGCACTCGACTCGGCTGTAGCCTCGGCTGTAGCAGCCTCCTCTGCAGCTACTTCCTCGGCGTTCGAAGCTCCCGGTTCAGTCACACCCGACTCTGCATCCTCAGCCTCCCCCTTGTCGCTCCCTTGATCGTCCCCTCTTTTTTCCTCCCCTTCCGCCTCCTCCCCTTCCGCTTTCTCGGCTTCCGCTGGCGCAGCATCGCCGACTTCCGCCTCTGTCTGCCCATCAGCATCTGCTTTCGCCTCGCTAATCTCCTCAGCCGCCGCAGCCGCCTCTTCCGCCGTCTCTTCCTCCCTTTCTTCAGTAACTGCTTCAGCAGCTTCACCTGCTTCAGCCTCTCCTGTTGCTTTCCCTTCTTCGCTTGTTTGTCCTGCTTCGCCTTGTTCAGTTTCTTCAACTGCTTCACCTCCTTCAGTGTCGCTCGCTTCTCCTGCGTCACCACCACCACTTGTTTCACCTCCTTCAATTGCATCACCCGCTTCAGCAGGGGTAACTTCCGCTTCTACCCCGTCTTCTTCGTCAGCAGCATTTCCCCCTTCACCATCCTTCTCTCCGTCATTTGCATCCTCCTTCACTTCTTCGGCACTTTCCTCCTCGCCTGCTCCCTCGTTTCCACCCTCCTCAGCTTCTCCTTCTCCTCCTCCTCCTTCCCCACCACCACCATCATCGCCTGCTGCTTCTTTCGCAGGGGCTTCAGCCGCCTCCCCCTGTGGAACCTCCTCAAGCGGCGCAATCTCCGTTTCTTCGGCGTCCGCCATTGGAAGCGTGTGTGTGAACCGAAGAACCTAGAAGCTGATTGAGAGATGCTATTTCAGGGTTTCAGAAATGTGGGACCTGGACGGATTGGATCCTGGAAGCACCGATGCAATTTCTGGGCAGGGAGACTGCGATGGGACGTTGTCACAACAGAATGGCGAGCGAAAAAACAATGGAAATCACTAAGATAGTAATAGAGTAAAAGTGGCGTGAAGTTATGGTTGTTCGATCGCGACAGTGTTGAGCAGAGTAGAGCACGTACCACTAGGGAAACTAGTAAAATCGACGGACACACTCGCTAATGTACTTCAATTGCTGAGAAAATGGCAAGAGCACTTCTAAAGCAGGGGACGCGAATACTCAGGTATCGCAAGCTTATCTTGAAAGCTGAAACCGCAAATGACGCGTAGCTGATGTATCTTTCTGCTTGTTCGCGCGTCAATCCCTGCTCAGGCTTGTTTTATCCCATCTGCTTTCTCCCCAACCAACTTCTAGGTCAGGCCTCCCGGCTCAAAATTCAGGTTTTGTCTCTTCGTGCTTGGGCAGGGCCTGGTTTTGGTTCTTGCCGAACCTAAAAGGGGAACAAGGGCAACCAGGTTTGGGTTCTCACTACCTTCATTTCGCCACGGCGAGAAGCCCCGCTTGCGCCAGAAATATGGCTCGGAAGTAAGGAGATTCTTATGTCGGGCGATAGTGGCTAGGAACACTTAGCATGACAGAAGAGCTGGTTGCCGAGTCAGTTGCTGAGGTTCAGACATCAGGCCTAAGGGCGCGTCAAGGACATCAGTTGCTGGGATTGGTAGGAGGTGACAACAGGGGATCGATCTCGATCCCCGGGTGACAGGATCGAGAATTGAAGGGAGCCGAGATCGGTGTGGCCACGAGGGCACATCGATCGTCACAGCGGAGGTGACAAGATCGTTGGGCACCAGTTACTGTAGATTCGCAAGCCTTCTCGAAATCTGGTTACCTTGTCAATTGCGACACTGTAGCTGTCCCTCGATCGATCGAGGGTAGATCGATCGAGGGGAGGGACGCGCCCTAACCTCCAAGTTAGTGACTGCGCCGTGCGACCAACGAAATCTTCGCGGCACGGCTTCCACGTCGAGCTTCCACAATGAGGCCATTGCGAAGAGTAATGCGAAGAAACAGGTATGTCGCTGAAGTGATAACAACGAGGTCTCGTTGCGGCGAACAGCAGTCTTTGTATTCACTACGTTCTGTAACCTGTCTGGAGCATTTCATAATTCTGCTCTATACAAAAACAGCACTCACAAAGTAGCTGGCAACCAAATACCTTTTGAAATGGCACAGATAATAAATTCCTAAACCACGCCAAGAATCTACCACTCAAAGAAGGGGTCTCACTCCGCGAAGCATCCCACTTCGGGGTTGAAGGTGCATAAAGCATTCCTGTACTCCCATATGAATGCCACCACGCACTAACTTGGCTTGTCGCCCACAGCAACTTCAGAAAATAGAGAGCTCCTAATCCCCAAATATCTTTTCACTTAGCCGCAGCTTTCAGCTCCAGCTCCTTCTTCCGTTCCCTCGCCTGCTCCGCCTCTGCTCTCGCTTGCTCTGCAATCAGCCTCCCCTTCTCCGCCTCCCCCCTCAACCTCTCCGCCTCCTGCTGCTTCCTCTCCGCCTCACCCTGCTTCCCCTCCGCCTCCTCCTTCCTCCTCGCCGCCTCCTCTCTCGCTCTCTCCGCATCCACCTTCGCCCTCCCAGCCTCTTCCTTCGCCTTTTCCGCCTCACTCCTCTTCCGCTCCGCCTCCTCCTTAGCCTTTTCAGCATGCTGCCTCTTCTCCTCAGCCTCCCTCCGCTGCGCCTCCGCCTTCTCACGCGCGCTCTCCGCCTCGCCCTTCCGCCTCTCCAGCTCCGCATGCTCCTTCTCCGCTGCAGCTCGCGCCTCAGCAGCCTTTTCCTTCAGCGCCGCAGACTCCTCCTGACGCGCCCGCACGCTCTGCTTCGCCTTCTCAGCCGCTTCCCTCTTCACCTCCGCATCAGCGCGCGCAGCGTCCGCCTTCTCCTGAGCCTGCTTCGCCTCGCCCCTCGCCCTCTCCGCTTCCTCCTTCGCCTGTTCCGCCTCCTGCTGAGCCTTCTCCGCAGCCTCCCTTCCTTTCACCGCCTTCGCTCTCTCCGCTTCTGCTGCCTCCCTCGCTCGTATTGCCTCCGCCTGCTTCTGGTCTGCCTCTGCCTTGGCTTGCTCAGCCCGCTCCCGCTTCCCATCAGCCTCTGCCTTCGCCTGCTCTGCCCGCTCTCTCTTCGACTCTGCCTCCTCCCGCGCGCTCTCCGCGCGCTGATTCGCCGCAACAGCCTGCTCCTTGGCTGCCTCCGCCTCCGCTTTCCGCCGCGCTGCTGCTTCCGCCTTCCTCTCCGCTTCCGCCTTCGCCTCCGCCGCCTCCGCCTGCCGTGCTTGCGCCTCCTCCTTCGCCTTCTCAGCGACCCTCCGCTTTTCTTCCGCCAGCCTTTGCTTCTCCTCCGCCGCCTGCTGCTTGCTTTCCGCCTCGGCGCGTAATTTCACAGCCTCCGCGCGCCTCTCCTCCGCCGCGGCTCTCGCCTTTTCCGCGTCAGCGCGAGCACGTTCAGCTATCAGTCTCTTCTCGTGCGCCGTGTCGCCCCCATTGCCCGAACCAGCTTGAGACACGGCCATGAATGAAACACAGCTAGGCTCGGCTAATATGTAATGCAGAATCAAATCACCGCACCAATCCACGCGCACTTCTGAAAGAAACCAATTCACGCTCTCTCTTGCTAGGAAGTGTGACTGCTGCCTGGAAATGGAGATAGTGTCTTTCGATAATGGCCCTTTTTTGAGAAAGGCGAAAATTTGCAAGATCAGGTTACCGCGGCGGATAATCTTTTCGCCAATGAATGTGTTCCTGATTGTGGTGGTGGTTTTGTGGGTGCAGAAGCCGCCACTATGGTGCGGGGTGGAGGGCAGTCAAGAATGTACGATGCCAGGTCAGCAGCAGCGCACGGAGATAACGTGCGACACGTTCCCATGCGCCCCAGCTCCCAGCGAGCTTGGCGAAAACAGGCGCGTCAGAGCGAAGCGTTTGGCTGTGTGAACAATAACGAAGCTTTTGGCTGTGTGCACAATAACGAAGTTCCCTTAAACTTAAAAAAAATTACGAAGTATCTTCTTGAACACTTTGTATTAGCAACTAGATGTTAAATCAGTCTCTCTTTGACCTTCTGGATATTCGAGCTATTGGTGAGGCAGTAACTCATTGAACTCTTCATTTACGGTAAGGACAAGGCTTTTTAAAATCTTGGGGGGGATGCTCGTGGTCCACATACCATACATTGTGGAAAATGTCTTGCAATTGGGCATCACTCACCTGACTTCCATTTATGGACCCCATCCCAACCCAACCCACCCTCCCACCAACACGGTACAAACTTGAACCAAGCAGCGTTATTTTAGTGCTGGTCCGGCTACAGGTTATTCTCCAGGTACCATAAGCGATCTATAGTGATTTTTCATACACTAAAGGGTGCACATCGTCTACCTAAAGGGTTCCTCAAATCCTTCAGCCCACACTGCCATTGCACCGCCTATCACCTCACCACCGCCTGACAAGCGATGTCAGCAACTGCAACCAAAGCATCACGGGAAAAGGGAAGGGGTGTGGTGGAAGAGAGGGTTATGGTATGGTCTAGAGTGCACATTTTCTACCTTAGGTTGTATCCCAGCCAAGTGTCAAGAGGGGCTACTGTCACAACACCAACTCGGAAAACACGTGGAGGACTATCCCTCCTGGTGTCAGTTAGGGTTTGCGCGGGAATGTGCCAAACAACGCGTCTCCACCAGGCTGGAGCCACGCTCACACGCGTCTCCACTTGGTGTCAACCGTTAACAACGCTGGACATTAACCAGTTCTTGACACTTGACTGGGATACGACCTTAGATGGTTCTAAAAAATCTCAGCCCCAACTGCTATTGCACTGCCTATCACCTCACCTCCAGCAGCTCAAACACGCTCCCCTTGCGGTCCAGCTTTGACTTCTCCCCGCCATCCCTCGGCAGAGCCGCAGCAAGGGCAGCCCTCCAACCCATCATGAGAGGTGCCGTCATAGAGAGGGAGGCCCTTTCAACCATACCCTCACTGACCAGCCCATTACTCACCTCCAGCAGCTCAAACACGCTCTCCTTGCGGTCCAGCTATGACTTCTCCCCGCCATCCCCGGGGAGAGCCGCAGCGAGGGCAGCACGCCAGCCCAGCATGGGCAGGGCTTTCATGACAATGGCAACTCCAGACCCCCCGTGAACAGTGAACAGCGAGACATACTCACCTCCAGCAGCTCGAAGACGCTCCCCTTGCGGTCCAGCTTTGACTTCTCCCCGCCATCCCCCGGGAGTGCAGCAGCGAGGGCAGCCCTCCACCCGAGCATGAGCACTGAGGTCATGACGATGGCGACTGCTAGGAACGGCAGCTGAGGTGGCTGACCCTTGATGAGACTGCGGAACGCAATGCCTAGCTGGAGTTGGGAAGAGAAGAGAAGGGAGGAGAAGGGAGGAACGGCAGGGAAGGAACAGAGAAGAGAACAGGGAGTGACAGTGAGGGAAATCTCGAGAAAAAATCAGTTGCAGAAGGTGGCCCTATGAGAATGTGTTATGCCAGATAGCCCAAACACCCACAGCACACACAACACCCACAACACCCGCAGCACCCACAGCACCCACAGCACTCACCGGCACGCCCAGCGCCCATGTCTTCCCTGCAGCCTTGGCAGCGTCTCCTGATGTTCGTGCTCCTGTGCACCCCTTAATTGCCCCTGGTAAACCTCTCAACACCCCTACAGCACTCACCGGCACGCCCAGCGCCCACGTCTTCCCTGCCTCCTTGGCAGCGTCGCCTGGCGACGAGGGAAGAGGCTTGCCAACGCTGTAGTCACCGAAAATGATGGCCGAGATGAACCAACCTGGTGGGGGGAACGATAAGGTGGGGAGAGGGAGAAGGTAAGGGTAAGCAGGAGGGGCGACGGCAGAGGCTTGCCAACACTGTAGTCGCCGAAAGTGATGGCCGAGATGAACCAGCCTGGTGGGGGGAGAGTGCGTGAAGGGAGAGAGTGCGTGAAGGGAGAGAGTGCGTGAAGGGAGAGAGTGCGTGAAGGGAGAGAGTGCGTGAAGAGAGAGAGTGCGTGAAGGGAGAGAGTGCGTGAAGGAAGAGAGTGTGTGTAGGGAAGGGGTGTGGGTGGGTGGGATGAGGCGTGAGCAGTGGCCGAAGGTGGCTTGCCAACACTGTAGTCGCCGAAAATGTTCGCGGAGATAAACCAGCCTGGTGGGGGGGAGAACGTATGGGGTACGAGGGGGAGAGAGTGTGGGTGAGGTGGGGATGCGGTGGTGTGAGCAGTGGGTGGGCAGAGCCTTCCCGAGGCTGTAGTCACCAGATATGAAGGCAGAGATGAACCAGCCTGGTGCGGGGGTCTAAAACGTGGGGACAGGCAGAAGGGAAGGGTAATCAGGAGGGGCGACGGCAGAGGCTTGCCAATGCTTAGTCACCGAGTATGATGGCAGATATGAACCAGCCTGGTGTGGGGGGCAGGGAGTGGGAGGCGAGGGTTGTGGGGGGAATGCGGTGTGAGCAGGGGTCGAAGCTGGCGGCGGACACGTGCATGCTCTTTCATTTCTTTATTCAACTCAGAAAAAGAGAGCGTGCTTACCCGCGAGGAACGGCTGAGCGGTTTTTATGAGCTCCCAGTAAATGGCTGCAGTGCAGACACGTGCGTGCTCTTTCATTTCTCTAACCTATTAAAGAAGTGGGGGTGCTCACCCTCAGGCGAGGAACGGCTGTGCAGTTTTGATGAGCTCCCAGTCAATGGCGGCAGACACGTGCGTGGCTCTGCCGATGTAGGCGAAGAGAATGAGCACCGCCGCGTCCCCGCCTGCTGTGAGTAGCGCGCGACTGACGGACAAGAGAAGAGAAGAGGGGAGGGAACAGACAGGAGGAACAGACGGGAGGGGGAAACATACGGCATGGGGGAAACGGCTCTGCCGATTTATGCGAAGAGAATGAGCACCGCCGCGTCTCCGCCCGCTGTGAGAAGCGCGCGACTGGCGGAGGAGGGAAGAGCACGAGGGAGTGGGAAAGAGACGGGAGACGGAAAGTGAAGGGACGATGCTACTAAAACGCGACTGAAGTATGTATGTCTGCAACCTCATCTTTTATGGCGAATTTGCGATTCCAGTATTCGAACGCTCTCTTCAAATCCCACGACGACTTAAATGTGCGTCATGAGAATTTTCTTCCCGCGACCATGCGGAACGGACAATGAACCGCAATGGACCGCATTGACGCGGAACGGTCTGGGCGACAACGGGGACGGACTGTGCGACTATGGTGAGCGAGCTGTGCGACATAATGTGACTCATATGAGCGTGGACGAGCTCTCGCCGCGATGCCTTTTAGCCACACCTATAGAGTGATCTGTGCGAGAATGGAGCGTGGTCTGCAACTACGCGAACGAGCTGTGCGACACATTGTGACTCACGCGAGCGTGGACGAGCTTTCTCCGCGATCAACTTTAGCCACGCCCTCTACAGTCACACCGCGCTCCTCCACTGATCGCCCCGGCGCCAGCAAATCATCTGCCGCACTTCCGCCTTCCGGTTTCTTCACGCGCCGAATCGTCTTCTTCTTCGGCGGAGCTTCCGCGGATCCCGTGGCATTTTCGACCGCGGGCTCCGCGTCCCCCCCCGCCGCGTCAGCGCGTACGCGGAACGTTAATCGCGGAGTTTTTCCCGCTGATCGCAGCGGGGCGAAGGAAGAATGGGCCGATGGGAGAGATGTAAGTCTAGCCGCTGTCAGCGCGGAAGACGCGGAAAGAGCCGCCATAATTCGGTCCAAGTGACGGTCACAAAAGGACGAGATGACGCTCTCTCAGTGCAACAAACTTTTATCAGACGAGGAAAACAGCAAAAGCGTGGCTTGGCGGGAAGCAACAAGAACTCCCGAAGAATGAAATGGAGATGCTAGAAGGAGAGTGGGAAGCAACAAGAACTCCAGTTCTCGGAAATATCTCTGATGGAGATTCTCAAGAACGTCGCGTGCGACCTTGGAATTTGCTCACCCTCTCGCAAATCCGGAAATCAAGTGCTGCTTGCAGAGGGGTTTGGCGCTTTGGCGGGAAATTGGCGAAGGATGGATTTGCCACGTCACCCCGCCTTGTGCTGAGCTGTAAATCTTCAAGATTTCCTTCGCGTGCGACACGTTGATTCTGAAGTTTCTTAGGGCGCGTGTGATCCAAGGATTTTTGTCAAAGTTCGAACTCAAACCGCTTTGCATCGTGGAGAGACATCGCTCAATTGTATCCTACCGTGTAGAACCTTTCTAAAAGTTCGAACTTTGGGAAGTTCGAACTTTGATCACACGCGCCCTTACAATCTAGTACGACATTGTTGTAACATTACAACCAACAAAAGCAAGTGAAGCAGACAAATTGCACTATATGAACAGAAAAATACAAGGCTACATACAGAAGAACACAACAGCACCATCTGTCCCAACCACGACCATAACCACAAAACATCCCAAAGATCTGCTACCCTCTCACCAGCAACCACCTCCCCCTGCCAGCCTCGCTGCTGGCCTTGGTCAAGGGGTCACCATCAAGCACCAGCGCGCGACCAAGCACCAGCAAGCGCCACCAGCTTGAGCAATATGCCTGACGACCCGCGACACAGCCAGCAAAAAACTAGGCTCGCTCCGCCCTTCCGGCCTTCCTGCTGGCCTTGTCCAGCGCCACCAGCTCGCGCACAGTGCGCTTGTAACTGCCATCGTGCTTCAGCAGCAGCCGCATGTTCATCTCCTTGTCCGTGAAATCCTGCCCACAGCACCGCACACATACATCAGACCACAAAACACATGTCAGCACACATCACATTGCCAAAACCCCGAAGAACAGTCAACACCACCTCTCGCACCCTCACCCAAACCCACAAGAAAGTCTGAGGCCACAAAAAGGAAGGAAGAAAGATAAACTCACCATTTCCTCTAGCTCGTCCATCTTCTCCTGCCACTCCGTCGTAACCTTCACAAGCATGGTTACCACCTCGTCCATGTTCCCATTAGTGAACTCAAGAAGCTCCCCATTCAGAGCAGGGTAGGGGAACCCCATCTCCACCAGCTGCTGCACCTGGCTGCCGTACCTCCCCCCATAAACCACAGCAGCTGCAGGTGAAGCAGATGAAACAGCTGCAGCAGCAGGAGCAGCCTCAACAGGAGCAGCGGGAGCGCTGGGAGTAGCAGCAACGGGTGCGGACGAGTTGACGACGAGAGGCGGGGTCTCCATCTCAATCTCCTCTTCCTCGTCCAGGAAGCTCACAGGTGACGGCATGGCAGCAGGCGCAGGCACAAGCACAGGCGCGGGTGCAGACGGCATCTCCTGAGACACATTCACATAGTCGTCTCCTGTCAGCAGATCCTCCGTCACTGCACCACCACCAGCAGCAGCACCAGCAGCAGCACCTGCACCTGCAGCAGCTTCCGCAGCTGCAACCGCCTCCTGCACAAGCACGCCAATGCTCTCAACCGAGGGGTACAGGGACTGGCCAGGCACAGGAGCAGCGGGAGCAGGAGCAACGCAGGAAATGGAGGCAATGGAGGGGTAGGAGACGTTCACAAGTGAGAAGCTGCCAACAGCAGTGTCCTCCGCCCTGGGAGTGCTGACAGATGAAGAGGCATCGGAAGCAGCATTGGAGGAGGACGAGGCAAGTGCTGGCAGGAGAACGGAAGAACCTCCCGTAGAGGCAGTAAGGGCAGAGGGGATGGTGTCTGAGGTGGTGGCATCTGTGCTGGTGGTGCTGGTGGTGCTAGCGGTGTCCTCTGCAGGCGAAGAAGCGCGCAGGTCAGTCCACTCCTCTTCAGCAGCAGCAGCAGCACCGTCTACAGCAGCAGCAACAGCAGCAGACACAGCAGCAGCAGGCGCAGCAGGTTCAACGGAGGCAGGGGCGACATCGATCACCACGTCACCCACAGCAGCCATGGCTGCTCCAACATCAGACTCGGCAGCAGCAGCAGCAGCAGCAGCTGCAGACCCGATGTTATCTGCTGCGTTGCGGATCGCAGTGATGATCGGATCCTCCCACTCCTGCTCCTCCTGCTGCTTCTCCGCCTCCTGCTCCTCCTCCTTCACTTCTTCCTTCACCTCCTCAACTTGCTCTTCTTCAACCACCTCACTCGCCTGCACAGCAACTTCAACCTTCTCCTCCTCCTGCTCCTGCTCCCCCTGAGCACTCTCAGCCTCCTCCTCCTCCTCCTCTGCTACTTCCACGACAGATACCATACCACTCGCCTCCACAGCCTCCTCAGCACCTGCCTGCTCCACAACAGAGGCACCAGCAGCAGCGTCTTCCACTGGAGTGGCATCAGCTGCTGTGTCCGTACTCGGGCTGGCCTTCACACACACGGCTTCAGGCAGGGAGGGAGACTCAGACTCAGCAGCCGCAGCAGCAGGCACAGGAGGCGCAGACGCAGCAGCAGGAGCGGCAGCAGGGGCAGCAGCAAGGGCAGCGGTGGCAAGGAGAGGCGCCGGCTCTTCATCCATTGCACTGGCCTCCACGACCTGAACACCACACGAGAGGCAGACAGACAGACACAGGTGAATAAATGCGCACTGATAGAGGCAAAAGACAAGAACCAAAAACATCCTGCACGCTCGACCTGAAGGAAATAAGAGGTACACTGTACCTGGATCTGGGCCCAGAAGCGGTGACCGAACTTGGGCCCACCAGGGGCGAGCAGGCGCCAGTGTGACATGTAGCGCCCAGGGCGGGCAGGTGCTGCCATGTCCACCGCCACGTCCACCTCCTGCTCGGGATACACCCCTCCACGCGGCAGCTGCAGATGATTTTAGACACGGGAACAGCCAGCAGAGAGGATACAATCAGGGAAGGAGGAAGAGTTTGAGACATGTAGTGCAGGGGAAGAGCAGGTGCTGCCATGTCAATTGCTATGTCAGCCTTCTGCTTGGAATACACCCCTCCTCGTGGCAACTGATAAGGGCAGGAGACACAGGTAACGGGAGGAAAGGGAACACCACAAAAGGGAGTGATGTCGCGATTGACTTCCCTTGACTGTCTCTTCAAGGTAAGGAAGTCTCAGGACTCACCTCAAGCGAAACGGTGCTGGACTCTGAAAGCAGGTCCCCTCCTGCGTGAATGACCTGCAGGTCACAGGGCCACGGCACGCTGCCGCTGTTGCGCAGGCGCCAGATCTTGGTGAACCTCGTCAGGGACGCCACAGCACCTAGAGAAGACTCACCATCTACAGAAAGCTCACCTCGAGAGGCACGGTGCTGGTTTCAGACAACAAATTCCCACCCGCGTGGATCATTTGCAGGTCACAGGGGGCATAGCACCTAGAGAAGGCCCACCATCTAAAAGATGCTCACCTCGAGAGGCACGGTGCTGGTTTCAGAAAGCAAATCCCCGCCAGCATGGATCAGTTGCATGTCGCAGGGCCACCGCACGCTGCCGCTGTTGCGCAGGCGCCAGATCTTGGTGAACCTCGTGAGGGGCGCCATCTTGGTGCCGTCATGCACACTCACGTCCTTCACAAACCGCGCGTCCAGCAGCCGCCCGTGCGCCCTGCCATACTGCAACTGCCCCACCGTTCCCCCCACGCTGTTGCTGCCGGTGAAAGCCATGCTGCTGCCAGGGTGGTGGTGGTGCGGGTGGTGGTGAGGTTGCTGGTGGTGCTGGGGCTTGTTGAAAGGAGAGCCGGGGCCCCATGCGTGTAGCATGGAGTGGTGGGAGAAGGGGCAGTGCGGGCGCGGGGCGAAGAAGGGGCGACCTCCTCCCGGCTGCTGTGGAAGAGAAAGAACATGGACGGACAGACAAGAAGGGATGAATCAGTCGAGCAAGGGAGGAAAAAAAATCAGCACAAGCGGAATAAATCCGAAAACTGTTCAACAGGGGAAGAAAAAAAGGGAAGGACAGCCAGTGGGAGCGTGTGCAGTGCAATCCAGGCAGCGCCATGCAACTGCTGCTCACCATGCCAGCCATGGCAGCGGCATGGGCGGCCATGTGCTGCAGGCGCAAAGGGCGGAAGAGAGGGCGGTCAATGCACTCATAATGCTCCGGGACCACCCCCGCCTTGCTGTAGCACGCCTCACACAGGTCATAGTCGTCCTTCCTGCGCAATCCACACATGGAAAATGCGAAGTTGTTCAGAATTACTTAAAGGGAAAAAAAAATTATACATATATATATGAAAAAAAGAAAGAGCAGCAGCAGCAGAAACAGAAGAGAAGACGAAGAAACAAGAACAAAAACTGAAACAGAAACACAAACTAAAGACAAATAGGGAGAGGCAGCAAGTAGAGCGCACACGGGCATGTCAAAGGCTAAGCACTCACACGAGGGAGCGGTAGCGCTTGCCCTGGAGGGGGCGCTTGTCACAGCCGTCACAGATAATGCCGTAGTGCACCGTCTTGGCAGCCTCGCCCGCTCCCTGCGCAGCACCGCCCTGGGACGCAGCAGCGGAGGCGGGTGCTGTCGTTGAAGCAGCAGCAGCAGCAGCAGCAGAGGCAGTACCAGCAGAACAAGCAGCAGTCTTCGGCTTGACAGGGAAGAAGACCTTAGCAACCGGGGGCCTCTCGATGCATTCATAGTGCGCTGAGATGGACCCCTCATTGCTGTAGCACGCCTCACACAGGTCGAAGTCATGCTTCCTGCACAGGCAGGCCACACACCAAAGCAATGGCACAAAAAAAAAAAAGGTTACTGAAAGAATCCGAGGTAGAAATGAAAAGACAAAAGCCCCTTTCCAAAAAAGGGTCCACGTGACAGAACTGAAAAGAAACCTCTCAAGAAGCAACGCTTACACAAGGGAGTGGTACCGCTTGCCCTTGAGAGGGCGCATGTCACAGCCGTCACAGGTAATACCGTAGTGCACCGCCTGAACACTCTCACTTGCGGAATCTGCGGCCGACGTAGCAGCAGCAGCAGCAGCAGCAGCAGCAGCAGCAGCAGCAGGAGCCGTGGCAGGAGCAGCAGCGGCGGCAGGAGCAGGAGCAGATGCAGGAGCAGTAGCAGAGGAAGTGGCAGCGTCCTTAGGCTTGAAATCGAGCGCGTCTGCTGCAGCAGCAATTGCAGCAGCCACTGCAGAGGTCGCAGCGGCAACATCAGCTGAAACCGCAGCGGCAATATCAGCAGCAGCAGCAGCCGAGTCAGCTGCGGCAGCAGCAGCAGAATCCGCAGCAGGAGCGGGAGAAGCAGACGAGGTGGAAGGCTGGGAAGACCCACAACCGCTGCTGAATCCTCCATGATGCTGCTGATGCGCCTGCTGGCGGCGGTGGTGCATGTCCAGAATCGGCTCAAACACCACGTCAAGCCCGCTCCGCCGCGCCGTCGCCAGCACCTGCGCAATCTTCCCAGGGGCGTCCTTGAGAATCGGGCCGTACTGCGCCAGCATGCGCTCCAGCTGCCCGCCCGACGCCAGCGCCTTCAGGATCTGATTCTCCACCGCGGTTGCAAACTCCGCCACTTTCGCCTCAAACGCCTCGTCCAGATCCTCGGGGACGGATGGCTTGCTGGGCTGTGCCAAGCTGGGAGCAGCAGCTGGAGCGGCATCAGCAGCAGCAGGAGCAGGCTCAGAGGTGGGGTTTGTAGAGGCATCAGGAGCATCAAGAGCAGCAGGAATGGGCTGCGACGGAGCAGGAGCGGGGGTAGGAGCGGGAGCAGAAGCAGGCACAGAAGGAGGTTCGTCAACAGCAGGGGTAGACGCCGCCAGAGGGACAGGAACAGTCTGAGCAGCAGAGTCGGCGACTGAATCCGAAGCAGCAGGAGCGGGAGGGGGGTTCACGCCAGCAGGAGCAACAGCGGACGGTGCAGACGGCGCAGCATCTCCGCCAAACGATGAGGACGAGTAGACAGACCCGTCAAGGCTGCAAACATCTACAAAATCGTCAGACTCCACGGCAACATCGAGACGAAGCGGATTCAACTCCTGGTAGATAAACGCGTCGTGAAGATCCTCGTCCGTGGAAACCGTTATGACGTCACCGTCGGAATCCGTGTAGGTGACGGTGATTGGCTTGTCGGCGGGGATCTTGAAGAGCTTGCGAATCTGACCGTCCACGTGGTCGAAGGCTGGAGGGTCGCGACGAGAGGAGATGCGACGAAGAACACCGCGGCACTTGACCTGGATGGGAAACGAAGAGTAAGCGAAGTCAGAATAAGTAAACGAGTTTTAAAACGTCTCAGAAAATAAACTAATGGGAAGAACAGAGGAAGCGGAGCGGCTCAAGATAAGCAAACGTGACATCGACTTTAAGCGAAACAAGGTAATCAAACGTGACATAAATAAAACGAGAAGAAAGAGCAGACCGGGAGGCGTGAAAACCGAAGCAATTACAGCAAGCGGACTAGCAAACTAAATGACATGTCATGGAAGAAAACGCTGAGACAGAATTCTAAGCTGAGCTAAGGGAAAAAAATGTTGTCACCTTCAACACGTAAAGCGTATCCATGGCGAAAGGCGTTCGGCACACAACAGCGGAGCACAGCTGAACTTGATATGATTCTCGAAAAAAAATGACACCACGAGCAACCAAACCGCGTTCCCGTTAGCCGCGGCGGCAGCTCCTCCTCCTCTCGCTTATCTCCAAATCCAAGAAACAGGCAGCAACGGCGACTAAGGGAACGTTCCTGGCCGGTGTCAGGCAGGCTGACACGAAGCTGTGAAGGGTCTCGATTCGATTGAGGATGATGTGGAGCGATCGCAGCCGTCAGTAGCCTTGTGTCAGGGAACTTGACACCGGCCAAGAACGTTCCCTTAGCCCTCGAAAGTCTATCTCACCCTGTTATCCGATCTTGGCAAATAACTCGAATTCCCTCCGTCCTCTCGAAACTGAGAAGAAAACTCGTTCGACAACAGAACTCAAGCTTGGATTGAAAGTCCGAACCGAACGAAACGAGGGTGGCTGCAGCACCACTCGCAGCAGCAGCGGCAAAAGCGCACACAACTCGAGAGAACTCAAGCAGACACGCCACCGAAGTTGGCGGAAAGAGGTACGGAACGGGAAACTTGCGTCACTGACAGGCTTCAGCCTGGAGAAATGGAGCGTGAGGATGGGTTCTTTATAGGTGTTGATGGCTCGGCGACGGCTACGATGAGCTCTCTGTGCGTGCCACCCGACATGGCGTCTCTCACACGTCAGTGCGGGGGGAACTGCGCAGCCGCGCGGGCAGGGGAAGAATGGCGGGAGCCTGCACAGCACGTCATGTGGGGGCGTGCGGCTCCGCCAGTGGCATCAAGCATGCATCCCTTCGCATTGTGGCGAAACTGCTTATCGAGTTCCACGATGGTCGAGACAGCTTCTGGGCCCTTCGCGAATGGCAATTCACCTTGAATGTTACGATCGGTAAAATGCAAATCTGGCGTGTTATATACTCAGAAGTGTACACATGAAAAAGCATATAGGAAGGAACCACCTGAGGCAGTACCGTCATACCCCTGATAGAAGCGCCCCTGGGGTTATAAAAAAACACGGTTTTTTAGGGGGTGGGCTTATAATTGAGGATTTTTATAAGCGCCGGGGCTTATATAATGACATATATGAAATCTATTTTTTTTACACCAAAGTGTTCATGTCGTCCTTGCGATTTGAATCGAATCGATATTGTAGAGGGCAATGAATGTGAATTTCGCGTGAATTGGCAGTGGCTGATTCCATGCCAACACACACAGTCAGAATGAGTCAGATTGACCCCATGACAGCTCATTCTGACTGGACGCGAAGGCATTGAGTCGCGCGAGGGTGAAGGGATTCGAAATTCTGCGTGTGGGAATGCAAAGTTGTGTTTCGTTACAGCGTTTCTAGTAAAAATATAAGAAAACATTACAAAGGGTGGCGCTTATAATCCGTAAGCCTTCAGGGGTGCGCTTATAATCGAGGACCGGATATAAGCGCCCTCATCCTTTTATAAGCGCCGGCGCTTATCATAGGCATGCGCTTCTATCCGGGGCTTACGGTACTACATCCTTGAGGACTGACAAAGAAGCTACATGATTTTGCAATAGCATCAGAGCAGAAACGTTAAATGTTGAGAAGAGTCAGCTATCCGACAAAAACACCTGGAAAAATTGGAATCAGTTATGCTTCTCCAAAACCGCTTGATACACAAAATTTCGCATGGCGTCTGTTCCTGTCCTGACATCTATTCTGCATATACAACTTCGCATGTCTTGTTCGCCTCAGCATACACTGCCGTCTAAAACCCACTGTTTCTCCCCCCTCCCATTCGACCTCCACGTCCACCAAACCCTACACCACCCATACCTCTACCCCTTGAACCAAACCCCCCACCCCTTCCTGCTCCTCTCCCTCTTCCCCGACCACCACCTCTTCCGAACCTGCCACCAAACCCCGCACCAAAGCCAGGGCCCTGAGGCCCGGGCAAGAGGGCACCCTTGCGAGGTCCGGCCGGAGCTGATTTCTCACCAGCGGGTGCTGATTCGCTGGTTGGAGGCGGAAGTAAGTAGTTTTCGAATGAGAGGAGGGAGGCGATGGTGTAGAGTGTCAATGCATGGAGGGGAGGGAGCGGTTTCCTCGGATTATGGACCTGAGGGGGGAGACAGAGAGAGGGCATGCGCGGGTGGGTGAGACTGTGGGCGTGAGAAGGCAAATCTCATCCCAACAATAACGACGAAACAGCAGCTAGGATCAGCAGTAAAACAAGAGTCCAGCACCCAACGGGTCAGCCCAGCACCCACCTTGGTGGCAAAGCAGGCAGCCAGCCTCTCCCTCAGGCAGAACAGCTGAGCCGCCAGCATGGCCGTGGCGCGGAATCTCAGCCATCGATCGATCACGATCACGATCTCACGGCCAGGATCGCTCATAACCTCCTCCTGCAGTTTCCGCCTCCTCTCCCTCACACTCTTGGGATTCGGCCTCACCACTGGCCCCTCCTCCTCCTCCCCTTCCTCATCCTCCGCACCTGAAACATACTCCCCTTCCTCCACCCCCTCCTTCTCCTCCTTGCCCCCTGTCCCCTCGCCCCCTTCTCCCTTCCCCAACTCCATCGAAACTGCTTCACTTCCTTCCCCCACTGCTTCCTCTTCCCTCTGGCCTGACTCGCCCTCTCCCTGTCGCCTCTGCTGCCGTCTCTTTCTTTTCCGCACTTCAACCCCCGAACCACTCTCATCTGCCTTCCCTTCTCCTTCCCATTCTCCCTTCCCTTCTCCCTCCCCTACTCCCCCATCACCCTCTTCTTCTCCCTTCTCTTCTCCCTTCCCTTCTCCCTTCTCCCCGTTCACGTCCTCCTCCCCTCCAGCCTTCAGAGGGCCCAGAGGAGCCACAACCATCTCTGACGCAATCAAGATGAGAGACAGCGGGCGAATCACAGTGCACGATCTGATCGTCTGGTTCCCCTCGCCCCTCACGATCTCATCATACACAATCAACGGCCGAGATGACACCTCACTGCTCTCCGAGCCACCGCTCTCCCCAGCGCTGCCAAGCGTTCCCGAACCTGCCTCCGCGCCTCGGTGCAAGGCTCGGCAGTTGACCGACTGGGGGTGGATCCGAACCTTCTCACCTCGGGCCGTCAATACCACCGCCGGCTGCCGCCCGGTGGGTGTTTTCGGTACGAGACTAGCTACAAACGGGTACAAACCCGCTGCTAGCACCGCCCGCACCACTCCTTGGTTCCTCCCATTCGCATTACACTCACAGTCCAAATCCACATTCACATCCCATCCCCCTCCCCCTCCTCCTCCTCCTCCTCCTCCTCTGCCTCCGCCTCCCCTCCCTCTCCCTCCTCCCCACCCCCCTCCTCCCCCACCCCGCACACTCCCGAGAAACCCTTTCCGCAGCAGCTCTCCTCGCAGCTGCTTCCTCAGCCCAGAGATCATACTCATCCCGCCCGGCGACAGGAAATTCCGCCGGCAAAACGCATCAGCAGCCCGGGCCCCCCCTCTCGCCTTCGCCTCCGCCCACCCGTCAAACGCGGCAATGAGCGCGAGATGATCCCCATACCCGCCCATCGAATTCCCCAACGCGTGCCGTGCAGCAATGGCTTTAAGCTTCTGATCCAACCCTACAGGCATCTGGAACGGGTCACGATAGGTGCTGGCAGCGGCGACGGTGAGGGCTGGGCCGAGGCAGTCCAAGAGGATGGAGTGGAGGAGCATTTTGGAGGTGACTGGGTGGAGGGGGAAGGCGCCTAGGTGGGCGCCGAGGGGCGTGAGGGACTGGTGGGGGTCGAGGGCGCCTATGTCTTGCAGGAGGGCAATCGCGTTGGTGATTGCGGCGGGGACCGGGGGCTCGAGGGCCTTGGAGAGGAACACGGGGATGTCTAAAGAGGGGTCTAGGATCTTGATCTGAAAAAGGAAGGCAGGGGAGAGGTGTGGATGGGGAAGAAAGGGACAAGGAGGAAAGTAAGAGAGTGAGGAGCATTCTGGAGGGCACTGGGAGGCCAGGCAAGGCAAGGCAGGCAAGCCCATGGCGGCTCGAGGGCCTTGGAGAGGAACAAGGGGATGTCGAGTCGAGAGAAGGGTCTAGGATCTTGATCTGAGATGGGAGGGAAGGGTTGGGAGGGAAGGGTTGGGAGGGAAGGGTTGGGAGGGAAGGGTTGGGAGGGAAGGGGGAAGGGTCGGGAGGGAAGGGAGGAGAATGGAAGAAGAGGGCATAAAATGGGAGTCAGCGTCCCAGGCCCGGCGGCTCGAGGGCCTTGGATAGGAACAAGGGGATGTCTAACGAGGGGTCTAGGATCTTGATCTGTAAGGAAGGGGGGAGGGAGGAGAGAGGGAAAAGAAACGGACAGAAGGAATGACGGAGCAGTTAGGGAGTCAGTGTGGGACCGGGCACAGGCAGAAGGCTGGAAGGGCGTGAGTGACAGGGGGTGACGGACTGGTGGGGGTCGAGGGGGCCTATGTCTTGCAGGAGAGCGACGATGTTGGTGATTGCCGTGGGGATTGGGGGGGGTGGGGTGGGGGAGCAATGGTGGTGGTACAGGGGAGGGCGAGCGAGCTTTGAGGCGCCTCAAGTCTTGATAGAATGAGTAGACTTAGTAGACTTGGTAGAATTAGTAGACTTAGTAGACTTAGTAGAATTAGTAGACTTAGCAGACTTAGTAGACTTAGTAGTATTAGTCGAATTAGTAGACTTAGTAGAATTAGTAGACTTAGTAGACTTAGTAGAATTAGTAGACTTAGTAGTATTAGTAGACTTAGTAGACTTGGTAAAATTAGTAGACTTAGTAAAAATTAATAGACTTAGTAGACTTAGTAGACATAATAGAATTAGTAGACTTAGTAGACTTAGTAGTATTAGTAGACTTAGTAGACTAAGTAAAATTAGTAGACTTAGTAGACTTAGTAAAATTAATAGACTTAGTAGAGTAGAATTAGTAGACTTAGTAGAATTAGTAGACTTAGTAGTATAAGTAGACTTAGTATAATTAGTAGACTTAGTAGACTAAGTAAAATTAATAGACTTAGTAGACTTAGTAGACATAGTAGACTTAGTAGACTTAGTAGAATTAGTAGTAATAGTAGACTTAGTAAAATTAGTAGACTTAGTAGACTTCGTAAAATTAATAGACTTAGTAGACTTAGTAGAATTAGTAGATCATTCATAGACTCTTAGAAGGCTTGCAGCGGTTCGATATCAGCTAATCTCAACTTTAAGGCGCCTCAAGACTTGGAGAGGCACGACATCACGATTGGCTGCACATTTAAAGAATCATCACCATAGCACAGCAGCATACCTACAAGAAACCCATGGCACCGTACTTGACTTGCATGCACCGCACTGTACCAGCAAGCAGAGTTCTTCTAGAGGCGTTCGTTTGTAGTCGGGCAGGGAGTCAGCCCAGGACTACAAGCAACCCACAGCACCGCACTGTGCTCACGAGAGCCGCACTGTACCTGCAAGCAGAGCTCTTCCAGAGGCGTGCGTTTGATTTCTGGCGCCTGGAATTCTGGAAGGGATTCGGCTCGCTTGCACGAGAAGAGGTGGAAGCACACCCCTGGCCTGCACCTCCCTGCTCTGCCCTGCCTCTGGCGCGCACTGGCCTTGGAGACCCAGCACACCTGAAAGATGGAAATGCAAGGGAGGGAGAGAGGGGCGTATGGAAGAGATAGCGGATACGGGGGAAGAGGGAGGAGAGGAGGATGGGCCTATGGGTGCGAGAAGAGGTGATTTTTGAGTCGACTCAAAAGTCACCTCGTTACAATGGCCTATGGGTGCGAGAAGAGGTGGAAGCACACCCCTGGCCTGCACCGCCCTGCTCTGCCCTGCCGCTGGCATGCACTGGCCTTGGAAACCCAGCACACCTGAGGGGGGTGGAGATGGATGGAGAGGGAAAGAAAGATAAGAATCAGCTTATGGTTGTTAGAGAAGAGGTGGAAGCACATTACCGGCCAGCACCTCCCTGCTCTGCCCTGCCTCTGGCGAGCGCTGGCCTTGGAGACCCAGCACACCTGGAGACCCAGCACACCTGAGGGGAAGGGAGATAGAGTGAGGGAAGGAAGAGCATGCAGTCATCAGCTTCGTCTCAGCACAACACACTCACCCTCTCAAGCCCCACCACACCCACCTGCAGGTTAGACACGTTGGTGTGCGCATCATAGCTCTTCTCCTTCAACCTTCCGGAATCAACCACAAACACAATGTCATCAATAGTCATAACACCCCAAGCTGCTCTGCCAGGCCCCTCAAACCCTCCCTTTCCCCCACTCACCTGCAGGGTAGACACATTCGTGTGTGCGTCATAGCTCTTCTCCTTCAACCGCCCCGAGTCCACCACAAACACAATGTCATCGATCGTCAGCGCCGTCTCGGCGATATTCGTCGTGAGAACAATCTTCCTCACTCCTTTCCCCGGCCGCTCAAACACCTTCCGCTGATCCGGCATCGGAATCTTCGAGTGCAGCGGCAGTATCAGGAACCGCGTAGGGTCTCCGAATACCGGGGACCCCAGAAGTCGGTCTCTAAGGCGGGAAATTTCCTCCCACCCCGGGAGAAACACGAGGATTGCGCAGTCTGGCCCATTCAGTCCCGCTCCCCCATCCCCTGCTGCTCCTCCTGCTCCTCCTGCTCCTCCTGCCCCTTCGCCCTCTCTGCCTCCCTTGCTGTAAGTCGGGATGAAAGACAGAAGCTCGTCCTCCTCTTCCTCTTCCTCCTCTCCCTCCTTCTCTTCACCCTGATTCAATAGCTGTTGGGCTTTTTTGGAAGCAAAGGCGCTGCTGCTCGCGAGTGCTGCGGGCCGTTCTGCCGCACTGACGCAGATCCTAGTCAGCAAGAGGTGGATGAGGGCCAAGTCCACCTCATCATGATCCACAGAGGATTGATAAATAGAAAGCGCCAGTTGCTCCTGTGCTGCCAGCCTCGCTGCCTCTGCACTCACAGGCGCAGCCACAGCAGAAGCACCAGCTGCAGCAGTAGCGCCAGCACCAGCAGAAGCGGCATCAGTTGTCGCTTCAGCATTGGTTACCAGTGCCCCTGCTTCTTCCATCTCTCCCTGCATTGCTTCCCTCTCCTCTTCTTCCATTCGCCCCTCCTCCCCTTCTCCCTCCTCTCCCTCCTCAACCTCCTCTCCCTCCTCCGGCACTCCCAAGCCCAATGCCTCCATGTGTCTCTCAAGAATGCGGCACACAGCCTCATGGCCGTACATGCGCGCCCAGTTAAGAGCCGTGCTGCCATCATCGGAAGTGAGAGTCACATCGCCCCCCAGCGACAGCAGCATCTCCACCTCCTCTGCTCTTCCCTTGCCTGTAGGGAGTGGGGACGGAGAGGAAGAGAGAGCAGGCATGTGTCTCTCAAGAATGCGGCACACAGCCTCTGAGAGTCTCATATAACCTCAGTGCCTCCAGGCGTGTCTTCTAGAATCCGGCACACAGCCTCATGGCCATACATGCGCGCCCAGTCAAGAGCCGTGCTGCCATCATCGGAAGTGAGAGTCACATCGCCCCCCAGCGACAGCAGCATCTCCACCTCCTCTGCTCTTCCCTTGCCTGTAGGGAGTGGGGACGGAGAGGAAGAGAGAGCAGGCATGTGTCTCTCAAGAATGCGGCACACAGCCTCTGAGAGTCTCATATAACCTCAGTGCCTCCAGGCGTGTCTTCTAGAATCCGGCACACAGCCTCATGGCCGTACATGCGCGCCCAGTCAAGAGCCGTGCTGCCATCATCGGAAGTCAGAGTCACATCAGCACCCAGCGACAGCAGCATCTCCACCTCCTCTGCTCTTCCCTTGCCTGTAGGGGAGTGGGGAGGGAGAGGAAGAGAGAGCAGGCATGTGTCTCTCAAGAATGCGGCACACAGCCTCTGAGAGTCTCATATAACCTCAGTGCCTCCAGGCGTGTCTTCTAGAATCCGGCACACAGCCTCATGGCCGTACATTCGCGCCCAGTCAAGCGCCGTGCTGCCATCATCGGAAGTCAGAGTCACATCAGCACCCAGCGACAGAAGCATCTCCACCTTCTCTGTTCTCCCCTTGCCTGTTGGTTGATCCAGAAGTGAGAGACAAGGAGAGAAACGAGGAACTGACTCAAAATAATTCTTTCTATGAGTTTAGTATGAAAAAAGTTCTTTCCCATTGGCTGATGGTCGTCTACAGGGAGCGGAGAGATGGGGAAGGAGAGGGAGGAGTTGACTTTGAGTTAGACTCAAAAGTCAACTTTTCCATTGTCTGATGGGCTCTGTACAGGGAGCGGAGGGATGGGGACGGAGAGGGAGGAGGAGGTGAGATAAAAGGGGGGAGTGGGAGGGGAGGAGGAGGAGGAGGCGAGTAAAAAAAGGGGGACCAGGCCAGGTTTGGTACAGAGGCACTAACTGACTGGCAGCAACCATCAAGGGGGTAGCCTCCGTTTCCGAATGCGCGCAGTCACATATGTTTATCCTCACACCACGCCCGCCACGCCCACGCCCACCACGCCCACGCCCACACCCACCAACACGAGATTATGTCCTATGGCACACACACACGCAGAGAAGGCTCAGAGCACACATACGCACTCCACTCACCAGCAGCAACCATCAAGGGCGTAGCCCCCGTTTCCGAATGCGCATAGTCACAAATGTTTATCCTCACACCACGCCCGCCATGCCCACCCTCACTACCACCACCGCCACCACCTCTCCCTTTCCTTCTCCTTCGCTTCCCCCCTTTTTGGTTCGCCACCTCCCCTCCAACCATCTCCTGCAGCTGACTCTCCTTTCGCTTCCGCCTCAAAACCCACCTCAACATCCTTTCTCTCCCTCCCCCCCCCTCACCACCACCATCACCGCCGCCATCACCACCACCGCTGCGCTGTGCTGCTGCCATCATCATTCTACTCATCATCCCCTGCAGCTTTGCCTCCTCATGCCCTGATACCACTAGCTCCATTAAATCATCAAAATCATCCGACATCCAAGCGAGCCTTATCGCCTCATCCATAGCTGCTGCGTCTTTTGCCGTTAGACCTATCACCTCCCCTTCCTCCACCTCATCCTCCTCCTCCTCCCCCACCTTCGCCCCTACTGTTTCCTTTCCCCCCTCCCCGCCTTCTCCCTCTTCCCCCTCCCCACCTGATTCCTCCCCTTCCTCCTCCTCGCCCTCTCCCACCTCCCCTTCCTCCACCTCCTCCTCTCCTTGCTCCTCCCCTTCTCCCTCCCCTTCTCCCTCTCCCTCTCCCTCAACCCCTTTTCCCACATGCGCATCGGCTAGTGCTGCCTCCCTTTCGACATCCATAGCTTGCAGTGCTCCCCTATTGAAAGCCCAGCCAGCAAAATTGTTGCCATAATTTGTGATGCGAAGGATATCCTCCAGGTACAGTGATCGCACCTGCCAAGCATTAACTTAAATATATCAATAATATTAAAAAATCGCAAGTCGAGAGACGATTTATGACGAACCTAAAGTATCCGCCAGGAAAATTGTTCCCGTAAACTTGTGATGCGGAGAATATTCACCAGTAACTAACGCAAAATGGTCTGTGATACGATACAGAAGACCAACGTAAAGATCAAGCTGAACGCACATAATTTGCACGCAGCCTGATCCGTAACGCCAGTACCAGTACCAATTTAACAAAAGAGGGTAGAGAAAAGAAAGCCATACTGTTGTTTTCCGCATTATACCAACACATGCAGCGGCATAAAAAAGAAACGGAAACTCCTCATGCTACCAGTACACGCACAAGGAAAAGAATAGGAAATTGGAAACAAAACAATCAAATAAACTGACCGGATATGTGAAGCCAGGGACGTTGATGACCGGGCAGCCCCCAAAATAGTTTGCAAACAGCCCAGCATCTAGGGTTGCACTCATAAGCACCTGGGGAAGATTAGTCAAGGCAACGTGATTGATAGTCAAGGCAACGGGCACGTGATTGATAGTCAAGGCAACGGGCACGTGATTGATAGTCAGTCGACTATTGAGATGTCTCAAGAAGGACAATAATAAATTTAAATTGAAAATATAACTGATTGATACCATAACAGATCAAGGTTTGCCATGTCTTAAAAGAGAGAAAGTCATTTTCTAAATCAGTAAAAACGGAGAACAGTCAAAAGGGAGAACAGTCAAAAGGGAGAACAGATTAAGATAGAATAATATCAAATCAACGTCTGAGACGCCTTCAGGTATGAACACAAAAGGGCAGATGCTCCAAGAGGGAGAACGGCTGATTCGCCAATAAAGAGGATTGAGCAGGAAGGAGAGACGACTGACCAGCTTGAGAGTGGGGTGCAGGCGCAGCAGGTCCCTAAGAATGATGAGCATGAAGCCATTGCTTTGCGAGAGATCGTCTGAGAGCCACATTCCGAACAATCCCTCTTGCAGGTGAGGCGAGACAACTGACCAGCTTGAGGGTGGGGTGCAGGCGCAGCAGGTCCCTAAGAATGATGAGCATGAAGTCTGCGAATTTATCACGCTCGTGCACCTCGTCCTGGTGGGCAGTGGGGGGGGGGGGGGGGGGGGGAGAGGAAGGTTAGCTCACGGGTCTCACAGATTCATACGCTCAGAAGCAGCCGCAGGCGCAGCAGATCTCTGAGAATGATGGGCATGAAGTCTGGACGAGGTGCACGAGGAATTTATCACGCTCGTGCACATCGTCCTGGTGGGTGGGAGAGAGAAGAGCAAGCAAGCAAGCCACACAGAAGCAGATGCATGAGAATTTCAGCAGCAAAACATTCGAGCATAGCGTGTTGCGCTCATGCACCTCGTCCTGGAGGGGGGGAGGGGAAGGAAAGGATTTTTTTAGGCGCCTTAAATTATGAACTTTTAGGCATCTCAAGAGAATTTCAGAAGCGACACATTTGAGCAAAGCGCGTTGCGCTCATGAGCCTCGTCCTGGTAGGGGAGGGGGGGGAGGGGGGGGAAGGGGGGGGGGGGGGAGGAATCTTGAGGCGCCTCAAAAGACAATGTTTGGAGCGCCTCAAAAGACGGCGTTTGAGGCGCCTCAAAGAATTCCAGCAGCAACACATTTGAGCAAAACGGTCGTGCTCATACACCTCGTCCTGGTAGTGGAGGGTGGAGGAGAGGATGGGGCGACAATGAGCCTCGTGCCATGCCATGCCATGCCATGCCATGCCATGCCATGCCATGCCATGCCATGCCATGCCATGCCATGCCTTGCCATGCCATGCCATGCCATGCCATGCCATGCCATGCCTTGCCATGCCACACCATGCATCATGCCATGCCATGTCAAGCCAAGCCAAGCCAAGCCATAACTCATGGCAGCAGCATGCACTCACCACAATGATGTGAGTCGCATCCAGCTTTGCCAACACATCTGCATCCACCTCCCTTCTCACTCCTCCCTTCTCCTCCCCCTCTCCTCCTCCCCCTCCTTCCCCCTCCTCCCCCTCCCCCTCCCCCTCCACACCTTCCGCCATCCCCTTCACAGCATCAGCTATAGCCTCTCTAACCCCTGGCTCCACAACACTCCCCCCTCCGCCCTCCCCACTCCCCCCTCCGCCTCCCCCTCCTCCGCCCTGCGCGCCCCTCCCCCCTTCTTTGCTGTGCAAGTGCGCCCCCAGTCCCACGAGGCGGCGCAGCAACACGCCATTGGTACAGAGCCAGAGAGAGGAGGAGCGATTCCCCTTCGACTCCAGGCGGATCTGGTACCCCACCGTCTGCCCGATCTTCTCCCCTCTCTCCGCTGCTATGCGCTCAGCCACTACAGAATGGGGGGAACGGGGGAGAAAGGGGAATGCAGGAAAGGGGGGGGGGAGGAGATGTTGTGGGGCGAGGGGGGAATGCGAGGGGGGAATGCGAGGGGGGAATGCGAGGGGGGAATGCGAAGGGGGAATGCGAAGGGGGAGCGGGAAGAGCAGGTGGGGGAGGGAGGGAGGAGAACAGACAGCCCCACAAGGCGGCGCAGCAACACGCCATTGGTGCAGAGCCAGAGAGAGGAGGAGCGATTTCCCTTCGACTCCAGGCGGATCTGATACCCCACTGTTTGCCCGATCTTCTTCCCTCTCTCCGCTGCTATGCGCTCAGCCACTGTGGAGTAAGGAGAAGAGGGGAGAGACAGGAACAGGGGGAACGGGAGGAGAGGCGGCGGCGTAGGAGGGGCGAGCGGGGAGTGGGCAGGAGGAGGAGCAGGAGGGAGGGAAGAGGCCAGACAGTGCAGTGCCAGCCCCACAAGGCGGCGCAGCAGCACGCCGTTGGTGCACATCCAGAGAGAAGAGGAGCGGTTCCCCTTCGACTCCAGGCGGATCTGATACCCCACTGTTTGCCCGATCTTTTCCCCTCTCTCCGACTGCAGCACCTGCGTGGTCATCTAGCACACACACACACACACACACACTCATATACCCACAGACACTCACTCTCAGCCTTACAGCTGGTCTCAGAGGGGGGGTTACCAGAGGTAGCGGAGATTCGTCTGGGTTGGGTGCAGAGCACGCGGCAGCGTCTCCCCTTCCCCCACTCGTGATCCAAAATAAACTGCGGCACCTGCGTGGTCTTGCCACACCCCGTCTCCCCCACTATCAGCACCACCTGGTGCTGCTCTATCGCCCGCGTGATCTCCTCCCGATACGCCATGATGGGTAATGACTGCCGCTTCTCTGTGATCTGCGAAAACAAAGGTCAGGGACGCGAAGGGAGGACAGGGGGGGCAGTAATGTGATCAACACAACCCGGTGCGATCAACACCACCCGGTGCGATCTAGGGATGAGCAGAAAACCGAACAGGTTTGTTTTTTTTTGCTTAAATTGTTCGCCGAACAGCGTTCGAGGTTCACCCGAACGCGTTCGTGTTCGGGCCGCTGCTGCAATTTGCCCCATGACGAACACGAACGTGTTCGAGGTTCGCCCGAACACGCCTTCACAGGCGAACGGCGAACACCTGTTTTTGCTCAAAGTGTTCGCCGAACCGAACAGTGTTCGGTTCGGCAAACGGATGTGTTCGTGTAGGGGCGAACACGAACACGTTCGTGTTCGCTCTTTGCTCATCCTTAGTGCGATCAACACCACCCGGTGCGATCAACACCACCCGGTGCTGCTCTTTCGCCCGCGTTTTCTTCTCCCTGTACGCCATTATTGGCAGCTGCTGCTGCCTTGCTGTGATCTGGGGGGGAGAGAGGAGGAGAGGATGGGCAGCAGGCATGTAACCTGCTGCTCCTCCACCGTTTGCATAGTCTCACCGCTTTCAACCTCACCGCTTTCAACCTCACCACTTTCAACCTCACTGCTTTCAACCTCACCGCTTCCACTCTCACTGCTTTCACTTCTCACCGCTTTGAGTGGGGCCATGTGAGCCAGACTATCCACTAGAGCCCTCACCTGCGCCTAAACCAGATAATCCCTCCCCCAACCCACCCCTTTTAGAGTCTAAAGAATCCCTCAGAACTACACTCTCACCGCTTTGAGTGATGCCATGTTCGCCAGTCTATCCGCCAGAGCCTTCACCTGCGCTCGCACCCAAGGGTCCCCTCTTCCCCCCTCCTCCTCATCCTTCCCCTTCCCCTTCCCCTTCCCCTTCTCAATCTCCATCCCCTTCCCAAGCGCGTTCCCCTGCTCTTTCCCCCCATCCGTTCCCCCTCCCCCCTCCCCCCCCCCAGGCGCGCCATAGCCCCAGTCACCCTCTCCTCCTCGTCATCCCCATTACCACCTCCGCCTTTCCCCCCACCAGCTCCCCCTTTCCCCGCGCCAGGCCCCCCTTTCCCCGCACCTGGTCCCCCTTTCCCCTGCGCCCGTCCCACTCCTGCAGCAGCGTCCGCCAAATACCCCCCAGCCTGCATTGCTGACGTCATCTCCAGCTCAGTGGGGGGATGAGCCAGCAGCAGCGCCAGCACAGCAGCTTCGGACTCGGGCGAGAGAGTCAGGCTCGGGAGGGATTCCGCCGTAGGCCCGGCGGAGTCCGAACCTGGTGCTCCGGTTTGCTTATGTCGGGAGGTTCGGTAGACTGTCAGTCGACGATTGGATTGTTTTCTGTGGGGGGGGAGAGGGGATTGAACGAGAAACACATGGAACACGGTTGGTATAGCAGCTGTATGTAACTGAGAATTTGAAAACTGTGCATCGTAAGTCCAATCCAAAAGAGCCCCATGCCGGAGCCATGACTCGCATGGCAGCAGCTGTACACAACTGAGAAGATGAGAAGTAAGTGTGCATTGTAAGTGAGCGGAATGGGCGCATAACTGCACATGGAGAAACGTGGAGACTTCTAGAGAAACATGGAGTCTTTTGGTCTTCGAACATGGAGACTTCTAAAGACGAAGCCCATCTTCCAGCACAGCTCATGCACGCACCACGGCCCTGCAGGGTGTTTTTGAAAAACACCCTGCATAAAAGGGACAAGTACAAGCACATACCCGCGGCTTCTCGAAACAAAGCCCATCTTTCGACACAGCCCGTGCACCACGGCTCTGTCATGATTGCTCAGATCCGCCTCAAACGTCATCTCTGGGAACAGGACAGAGGGGAGGAAAGGGAGAGAGAGGGTTGGTGAAAGGCAGAACCCTTTTGGAGCCCCTTTGGGATTGCATATAGGTGGTGCACCACATCCCTGTCATGACTTTTGAGGCGCCTCAAAAGGGAGAGGGTTGGTGAAAGGCAGAACCCTTTTGGAGCCCCTTTGGGATTGCATCTAGGTGGTGCACCACAGCACCGCCCTGTCATAATTGCTCAAATCCGCCTCAAACGTCACCTTTGGAAAAATAAACAGACAGAGAGGAGGGAGAGAGGGTTGGTGAGAAACAAGCTACACTTGTAGAGCCTTGGGAGGAACCAGGTGGTGCACCACCACCGCCCTTTCATCATCAGTGCTCAGTTCCGCCTCGAACGTCATCTGTGTGTAGGAAGCAGACAGCGAGAGAGAGAAGGGGTTAAGGAGGAGCAAGCCAAACTTGAGGATCCCCTTCAGGACTAGGTGGTGCACCACCGCTCTGTCATAATTGCTCAATTCCGCCTCGAAACGTAATTTCAGGCTCGAGCAACGTCTGGAACTAAATCCCACCTAGTTCGGTTCCGTCGCGATAATCTTCGAGCCTGGCGGTGACGGAAAGACGTGTGAATTTGAGACGTCTCAGCGCTACACTTCTTTCACGTGGCTAAATCCCACCTGGTTCGGTTCCGTCGCGGAACTCTTCGAGCCTGGCGGTGACGGAGATTCGCGTGGATTCCGACACGGGCCGCATCCCCGCCGTCCCGCGAAACCGGTTCTTCTTGTCGCGGTTCATCTTCGATCGTCTGTTGAGCTCCGATCGGCTTAAGGCAGCATAAACGGCTCGGATCGCTTCGCGACAGATTCAAGGGCTTGGATTGCTTCACGGCGGCCTAAACGGATCAGATGGCCTAAACGGAGTCAGTGTGAACGTCCTTGATTTCTTTACGACAGCGCACGCGGCTTCAAGCGATTCCCGTGTCAGGATCCGAATTCGCCACGCAGCCGTATCCGCTTCCACGTATCACGAAGAAACCACTTGCGGCTACTAAAGCTGTTCTTGAAAAGGCGCTTCGCCTTGGTGGTCTGGTATATGGCTGCCTGATCAGCTAACCGTTGGAAGTCAATTTCCAAACCATGGGAGCTTGAGGGGTTTTGATTGGCATTCTCGCTAAGACGTTTTGGCTGGATGTTTGCAATGTCAAGAAAGATACGAAGCATAGAGGGCATTATCTATCATGAATGGCTGGCTGTACAATTGAATCTACTTTAAAAGCAAGCCAGTCCTAACCTCTGGGTATTCAAACAGTTATATGTACTATTTCTACTTCAAGTTTATCAATTATTATAATGATCATATATGAGAAATGGTTTTTTATTTCTATTGTCTGAATTTCTCTCCATTGTGTCTGGATATTTCCAATATCAGTCATTAGGCAACGTATAAAAGCACTGTACTGGGTGAATGTAATACACACGATGCTCGAGTGAGCCCCATACTTGCGTTACGTTTTGGGCCTTTAATTGTTTCTTGTATGTAGCAAAGGTTTCGTGAATTCACAGCTAGCAAAAAGGGCATACAAGTGATGCTCACCCCCTGCACACGAAATTGCCTTGCACATTCCAGAAACCTTGCACGCGTGGGTTTTTTGCCGGGCAGTTGCACCCATGTTACAAGCACGTCAACAAATACGAACCACAGAAACTCAAGTTTGACTGAAGAGACCGAAGTCGAACAGTCAACGGTGAATTACAAAACTTTGTTATAAGTCCTTTTTGCCCGAAGCGAAACCTCCACGAAATGCAAGAATCGCTTATAAGCCCAGAGGGTAGGGCAAGGTCGGGGGGCTCAACCGGGCATCACTTGTATACAACTATTGTAACTACCCGTTGACTTTTTAACTTCGGACTCTGCAAAGTTTGACTTCAGTCACTTCGTTACCATTGGTTCATAATCACTGCAACTTTTTTGGGGGGCCTGTAAACTGGGTTCAACTTCCCGTCACCAATTGGTTAGTGGGCAGGAAACTGACATGGAACATATCAAATTCGCGCGCAGCAGTTGAGCAACATGTGTACCTGAACACTCTTCACTGAAGAGTCTTCAGTTTGCAACAACCTGGAATATATATTGCACTGCCTGCGTAAGCAGGCAGTGCAATCGAGTCAGCGCGGGCAAGAAAAAAAATAAACCCCAGTCGGGGGCATGCCATCCGAGGGAGCCTCAACCCTAAAATTTTAGGGTTGAGGCTCCCGAATGGCATGCCGTAAGCCATGGGTTTATTTTTTTTGCCTGCGGGCAGCGTGCTGACTCGGTCGGTAGCGCTACCGGGCGCTACCGACCGCTACCGGCTCTCGAAAGTGAAATACAAGACAGTCCGAAGGTACAGTATAGCTACAAGATTTCGATTCTTTCCCCAACTGGGTCCGTTCGTCCGTACAAACCACAGCCACTCCCCCACCCCAATCCACTCTTGTCTCCCAGCCACACCGATACCCGTGACCGCTTCCAACCTCATTGCACCCTTCTTCTCCAAGCTTTCCCCATCACCAAACAACCACAAGCCCCACCTCTTGGCAGTCGTGACCGGGCCTGTCGAAGTCTCTGGGACCAAAACTTCGAGTCCTGAGCTGCTCAAAATCCGGCCCTGATTTTCACGGGCGCAAGCCGAAATTTAAACTTGAAAACAGGGCTACTTCGGGAAGTGTATTTCAGCTCTATTGTTACAGAGGAGGATATGAACTATTACTATGGAGAAGAGAGGAGCATACTCACTGCTCAACTTCACACCTGTAGCCTTATCATATGCAAAAACATTGGGTAGGGGGAAGAGGGGAGTGGAGAAGGGGCAGGAATAGGGGGCGGGGTCCTTCAAAACAGAAACCAAAACTTAAATTCAGGGAAGGGCCCAAACGACGCCCTTAACTGTCACGGGTGCCATGCGAGTCCAGCACTTTAAAGGGTCGAGCTGCTTTGAACGTAACCCGGAATGATCAGGGAATTAAGGAAAAATGCTCTTACTTCGATAGCCCTGGTTAGGACCACTGCCCCTTGCTTACCCGTCAGCAAGCTTGTCGGCATTGATTCAGCGGGCATCCTTCCAACCAAAAGCTGCCCGCAATACACGTGGCAATCAGCATTGACAAACCGTCGATTGGTGAGATCAGTCTGACACGAAACGTTTTGGAACCGAACTTTCAATTGTCAGGACTTAACCAGCGCACTGTAGACTTGCTGACCCCCTTCCCCGTAACAAGCCTCAGGTTCGTGTTTGGCTCTCCTGTTCCGAACAAGTTGCGTTGCTTCTGTTAGCTTTGGATCCAACCAAATCTTAAAGCGACGGTGCACATTTGCCACCCGAAACCCTAAACCCTGGCGAGCTGTTACTGCGGAAGAAAAGTGTCCGCACGAAATCCAGGTTTTCGCCTGCCAACACTTTCGCGCTGGCAAGCCTGGTTCAAAAAAAAACCTTCTGAACCTCCCGCTGGGAAATGCAGACCCTCGTTTTAACGAGGGCGTTTGTAAACTTAGTTGAGCACCAGACAAACGTCAAAGTACACTTGGCCAAAGTCGTTTCACCCACTCTGTAGAGAATGGTCTGACCTGCGTATCCACTTGGCCAAAGTCGTTTCACCCATAGTCAAACAGCAGCAATTCGTGTGGACCTCCAAGTTCCAAGTTCCAACGCTCTGACCACATCCTCCACTGCAGTTTCTCTTGCTGCTCTCCCCTCCCCTTTTCCCCCCTCGTCCCACGTCCCCCCTTCCCACTTCCCCAACCTCCTCGTTTGTTTCTGGATTGTCTTCATTCTCCATCCTCTCCATTCCAGACCACCCCGAGCTCTACATGTCAGACCTGCAGTAATTTTTGTGAGCCACTGCACTGCTCCAACTGTACTACATTCTGTTTAGCTTGACGCCTTCTGCTACTGGTTTGAGTAGGGAGATTTTACTAGACGACGGCCCTGAGAGCAACCAAACCGATGGCGACGGGGACAGAGGGCGTTGGCGCAGGAGGCAACGCTTTCATCACGTCCCTGAATCCCGCCGCCCTTCGCGCTTACGTGTGCGCCATGGAGAGCGGCATGATCGGCAACATCTGGTCACCGACAGCCGTCGGATCTCCCAACGTTCTCTCCCCATCCGCGACTCTCGTAGCGCAGCCAAACCGTAGTAACCCCAACACCCACCGCCCCGCGGCTACTAATGCGCCATGCGGCAACAATGCTGACGACTCGAAGCCGAAGAGGAGTCGCGCACCGGTGCGACGCTGCGATTCTGCTTCGGCTGCGGAAGTGTCGCACGTGGTCGTCGGCGCCGCAGACCCTGGGGCCGCGCCGCCATCCCTCGGCAGGAGCAGGACGAACACCGAGGCGCCTCGAATCGTGACGCGGTCGCAGATCTCCCCGCCGCCGTCCCTCGGTACAACCGTTGCCGCCGCCGCCGGCAAGAGCAGGACGACAGCTCGGTCGCACAACCGGACGCGCTCCGTCAGCTGCATTCAGTCCAGCGGGCTCGAGTTCCACTTCCCATTGTCACTCGCGCAAGGCGGCGCGCAGGGCGGAGCACATGGCGGAGCGCAAGGACGCGCGCATGAAGTAATCACGTCTCCGCCAGCTGGCCCTGGGCTCTCCGCCGCGAGGAATGCGGTCACTGCCGCAAACGACGGGAAGGTGAAGCTCACCCGCGCTCTCACCGAGCGCGAAGGCGCGAGTGGCGGGAGTAGCGGGAGTGGCGGGAGTGGCGCGGGGAGTAGCGCAGCGGGTTCGCGGCGGGAGTTTATTCGCAGCCGAACCGCTTCTGAGCGAGTGGGGAACTTCGACAATTCTCTCTCTCCGCGAGCAACCACCCGCAGCCGCAGCCCTAAAAGCTTTGTGGCTTCCCCCGAAGCGCAGCGCGCACCACCGCTCCCCGCCCGATCGAGCCAGGGTTCCGCGATGGCGCCGCCAGCGCCCTCCGCAGCTCGCGGTTTCCCCGATCTGTACCCAGATTGCGGTAATACCGATGGTAGCCCGCGCGACCCGCTCCGCAAGAGCGACTCGGATGCCTCCGTCGATGACTTGTACCCCAGCCCAGGCGCTGTCTTTCCGCGATTTGCCACCATCGGCGACGTTTCATGCGCGGAGGGCTTGGACACTGTCGGTAACGATAATGTTAACGGTAACGCTAAGGCCAAAAAAAAGTTGCATCCGGCGTTATCCCGTCGCTCCCGTTCTGCGGGCTCTCAGTCAGCCGCCGCATTGGCCGCTAGCATGGGTATCGAGCGCGGGGCGGCGGTGACCGGCGCAGATGTCGGCGGGAGCGGCGGATCGCGCACGGGACCGCCTGTAGTGCAGCTCGCGCCGCGGATGGGCTTTGTGGATTGGGCGGGAATCGGCAGCCCGAAAACAGCCGGAACTGTCGGCGGTACCAGCTTCGGCGTCAGTAGCGGCGGCGCCAGCGGCGGCGGCGGGGGCAGCGGTGCGAGCAAGCTGAGGCTACAACCGTTGGACAGCAGCAAGTCGCCTTCTTCTCCCAGTCCTTCTCCGCGCTTCCCCGTAGCCATTCCCTCTCCTTCCGCCGCCTCCCAACTACCCGCGGGATTTACGCCTGGCTCGCGGAGCCTTCCCCCATATTCTGCTGGTGCTCCCCCGCTCTCCCCGCTCGGCCGCGCTGGCGCTGCCATAGTTCCCCGCCCCACCCACCGCCGCGCCATAAGCGCCGCACAGTTGTCCCCGCGTGTGCCTTCCCCGTCTGCGCGCCTAGTTCGCCCGCCGAGCTCGCCTTCTGTCGCGGGGAAGGCGCCAGGTGCATCAGCGCCCCTTAACGCCGCCGCCGGCGCAGGGGGGACCAGTCGCTCCGCGTCCGCATCCGCGTCCGTGCCCGCGATCGCACGTTCTTCTCCCCGTGCGCGCATCGTGCAATCGGCGACGGCGCCTTCTTCCGCGGCACGCGAAGCTACGGCGGAGGATGGTGGCGCATATGCGGAGAGTACCTGCGCAACTGTGAATCGCGCGGGGAAGCCAATGCCGCGGAGCATGAGCGCGGAACCCGTGCTTGCGCATCCCGTGGCACTTGAGGCGCAGGCGGCGCAGACGAAGCAGAATCATGTGGGGCAGCCGCAGCCGCAGCCGCAGCAGCAGCAGCAATTGCAAGGCAGCAGTCGCGAGCATGTGGGGAACTACCGGCGCGCGGCTCCCACGCCTCTCGCGGTTCCTTCGCGGCGCCGCAACAGCATGTCCAGCATGCCTCAGGGCGACGCAGCTTCGAAATCTGCGCTTGCGGGATTAGCTGCGGCGAATGGCGGCGTGCGCATCGGAAGCGCTAGGGGGCAGGGTTCACCAGGCGCAGGCGCATGGCCCGCGCGCAGCCCTGTGGGGACAGCAGGGGGAAGGTTGGAGGGAACTAGCGGCGAAGGTCGTACAGGTGTAACTGGAGGGAATCTGATTTCGCAGCAGCCACGCGTCCGGGGGGTTGCAAAAGGGCCTGATGCTTCTTCGCCTGAGCTTTCGCCTAGCAGTGCTGCGGCCGTCGCAGCGGCAAGCGCTGCGTTTGGGCGAGCGGGGACGACGCTTTCGCAAAGCCTACCCACGCGAACATCAAGCACCGCCCAACCTCCAGCGCGGTTCTCTCACGGTTCCGCGCCGAACAGCCCAGCCGAACGCTCACGTGCCATCCAGACCGAAGCTGCAGGTTCGGCATCCACACTCGCGAATGCAGCAGCCCGGCTAGACGTAGCAGCGAACAATTGTCCAGGTGCTGTTACAAACGTAACATTCAAAACAAAAGTTGGAAGTTTTGGTTCCAATATAAATACACCAGACATGCTTTCTCCTCCCAGCCTTATAATCAAGCTCCCACCTGCCAGCGCTCAGAGAGTTTCACCTCCCCCAGTTGCGCCTAGCCCTCCCCGTTCGTCGCCTCCCCCAGTAGCACCTGCGCCAGGAGGAGATAGCTGCAAGGAGCAACAGGTGGGTTACAACGGCCGGTCTCTCTCACAGCAGCAGCAGCAGCCGCTGAAGAAGAGGCAGCAGGCGGCCAGCAGGAGAACCTGCAGCGTGGATTTTGACTTTGGGAGAAGCAAATCTAGCAGCACCACCACCACCACCACCAGCACCAGCACCAGCAGCTGCAGCATCAGCAAGAGTCCAGTAAGGGCGAGTGGCAGAGGAGGAGCCGTGATACTAACGAGCCCGTGTCCCAGCCCGTCCCGCGCGCAGGTGGTGTTTATAGACGGAGTCCCCATGCCTCTCCGCAGCGCCCTCAAGAGCCCAAGCATTGATAACGGCCTCGGGAATACCGGGAGCAACCTTGGGAATACTGGGAGCAGCCTCGGGAATACCGGGGGTAAGGCAGAAGGTGGCAGAAGCTCCAGTGTGAGCCCTATTTTTCGGCATGCTTCGCCGTTGGTAGGGAAGGGGGGAGAAGGAGAGGGTAGTGTGGGGAAAGAGGGTAGAGAAGGGAAGGAGGGGAAGGGAGGGAGGGTGCTGCATCCCCAGGCGCAGAGCAGCCCGAGAAGGGTGAGCTTCAGTGGGTTTGTGGAGGTGCAGGAGTATGTGAGGGATAGCGAGGGGAGGGGGAGAACGAGAGGGCGGTAGGGTGAAGTGCAACTCGAAGGGCTCCTGCGGGGGTGCAGAGTGGTACAAGGTAGGTGAGGTTCAGTGGGTATGTGGAGGTGCAGGAGTATGTGCGGGATGGCGAGGGGAGGGGGAGAAGGAGGGGCCTTTACGGTGAAGTGCGATGCAATCACTGAGAACGAGGTGCAGTGTGGTTTGAGGAGGGTGAGCTTGAGTTGAGTGGGTATGTGGTATTGCATGAGTGCTACCGGTATGTGCGGGATAGTGGGGGTAAGGGGAGAACAAGGAGGGGGGGGTAGGGAGTGAGCAGGACAATACTCGTGTGTGAGAGTGATGGTGCATGTGTGTGAATGGTTGGTAAGTGGAGGGCCAGTTTTGGAACGCCAGGTTTGGAGGGCTGGGTTTGGAGGACCAAGTTTGGAGGGGCAGGTTTGGAGGGCCAGGTTTGGAGGGCCAGGTTCGGAGGGCCAGGTTCGGAGGGCCAGGAGTGATATCTGCAATGCCATGCAGTGGGAGATGCTTACAAAGATGTAGCGAGGCATGCCGTCTAGTATAATGGCGGCATGACTTCTGTTCTGACAGCCTGACGTCTAGTGATCTGATGCCTGACAGCACGTCAGACAGTGGCGCATCTGACAGTGTGTGTGACACCGTGATACCTGTTGTGTGGAAGACCGGCTTTGATGATTAACACTCGCTTACCATGTTCATCATCCTCGTTTTCAACCTAATGTGTCATGTGGTCGTCTTTGTGCTGGTGAACAGCACTTGCTTGTCAAGAATGAATGGATGCACTGATTGTGTTGGTTGGGGTACATGAACCTAACCCTAACAGCTGTACCCCATATGACAAGCCTCACTATTGGCTACAACATTTGACATTGCTGTTTATGTTTATTAGCGCTTTTTTTCTTCTTCTTTCTTCGTTTTCTGTCCGTTGTGTCTCTTGACCTGGCCAGTGACCTTAACTGGGCCTTCTTGACTTGTGCCGTATTTGTTTCAACACATTTACACTTGGCACACCTTTCAGGGAATACACTAGATCACTACCGTACCGTACCGTATGTGGCACAGGGTGGTGTTTGTGTGTGGCCCATGAGCCTAAAGCATTGCAGTAACGTCCCCTACACTCCTTCCCCCCGCCCGCCCACAAGCCGCACTCTCAGCACCACACACTCCACCCACAGCGGCATCCCGTCCACCATGCAGCACGCCCTCGCAAGTACCGTACTTGCTGAGCATGAAAACAGGTTCTAGAGAGCGTATTTTGCCACAAAATACAACGCCAGGGGCAGCAGCCTTATCACTCCATGCACGAACGTCCCCACAGCAGCAGCCTTCCTCACACACCCCCTGGCATGCTGCGGCAGGCTCCCCCGCCCGCCCACAAGCCGCACTCTCAGCACCACACACGCCACCCACAGCGGCACCCCGTCCACCATACAGCATGCCCCAGTAACCGCTACAATATACCAGGTTTCCCCCGTCGGTTGGGAAAAAAACAGGCTGATTCCGAGGAGTAGAGGCGGCCAGACGGCTAGTACAGACGTCCACCATTCGCGGCCTTTGCAGTTCCAGGTGCTTAGGAGGGTGAGGAGCTCGCAGAGAGAGCGAGCGAGGAGGTAGGATGCGATGGGGGTGGTGAGGGAGGTGGAGGAGGAGAAGAGGTAGAGGGCTGCTAGGAGGGCGGCTGTTGAGAGGTCTGCTGAAGCGTAGCACGCTGCTTGCTTGAGCTCTTTTCCCTGCTGGAAGGGGGGGAGGGAGTGGGGATGGGGGAAGAGATTGGAGAGGGTGGGGAGAAAAGCGGGGGCCAGCGGCGGAAGGAGGGCGAGCAGCTTGCAGAGAGCGCGGGCGATGAGTCGATTTTTGGGTCGACTGAAAAATCGAGCTTGCAGAGAGTGCAGGCGAGGTGGTAGGAGGCGATGTGCGTGGTGAGGGAGGTACTAAGTTACGGAGCAATGAAGGGCCATAGCAATGACAGCATGAACGTACCAGGAGCAGCCAGAGCACGCAGAAGTAAGCACCCAGCACCAAGCCTCTACCTCCCAGCACACCCATAATCGCCAGCCACACAGTCCCATTGGTTCCCTTAGCTGCGCCCATAGGAGCCCAGAACAGCAGGGAAAACAGCACCAGTCCAGCTGCAGTCATTGCCATCGCTAGGAGGAGCAGCAGCCACACGTATTCCACCATTTTTCCCATGGGTATTCTTCCGGGTAACCCTGGGACGGCGAGGGTATCTTCCGGCTTCCACCTGTGGGTTCTCGAGCGGGTTTCTTTCCAGGTGCGCCCGTCGTCCCAGTCCCCGAACCACTGGACCCTTTTGGATGGGTCCAGGACAATTTCTGAGCCTAGCAGTGGGTGCAGAGCGGTGGGGTCCGGTGAAGCGCTGCTGCGCAGTGGTTCGCTTGGGTGTTCACATGGCTGTAGTGGCCGTTCACAGCTGGTGTGCAGCAGCTGCAACCTCTGGTTCTCGATATAAGCTGCTTCGTTTGTGTCACAGGGCTCCATGAGAATACCGCCAGCCTTGTTGCCAGGGCAGTGCATTAAGGCCACAGTGGGAGAGGGATTCCATTCCATAGTAGTGTTGTTAGTGACCTGCCCAGCAGTGACAACAGCAGCCGCAACAGCAGCAGCAGCAGCAGCAGCAGGAGGAGGAGGTGGGTCGAAGCGGCTGCCGCTGCTGCTCCCACCACCACCACCGCTGATCTTGCTTTCTTCCCCACCAAACCTGCTGTTTCTGCTGCCTCTGCTGCTTCGGTCGTTCGCACTGGCGTTTCTGCTCGGGCTGTTGCTGCCTGTGCTGCACGCATCTTGCGAATCAGCATGTGCTTGACGGAGCTCATCCATGCGTGGACGACCACCACTCCCAGGTGGCCACGTGGCAGCATCTCCAGAGTCCGAAGCAGATCTCATTGCTGACGTGGCGTGATCGCATTGGTGGATTTGCTGGCAGTCTAGCGCCTTATCTCCGTCTTGGTGAAGACGGTTCTCCGTGTTCCCGTTTGGTCTACTTCCGCCTATTGACCTTTGAGACGTCTCAAAAGGATTGTCCGATCTAGGATCGTTCTCCATAGGCCCGTTTGCCGTTCCACTCCCATCCATGGCCCATCCACTATTCTCCGAGAAGATTGGATTTCGCCTGCTGCTGTTAAGTGCTGATTGTGCGCGTTCCCCACCAATTTCCCCACCGTCAGCCACGCTGCTGCTGCCATCACCGCCATTTCCATCAGCATAATCGTAATTGTCACCGCCATTTCTATTAGCATCAACATTATCACCATCGTTACTGTCACCGCCGTCGTCGCCAGCATTGCCACCTTTCTCCTCGTCGCTGTCGTAGCAGTCGTGACTGTAACGAAACGGGCTGGCGTGCAGAAACGCGTACGGGTCCCCCTTCGCGGTCGCGCTCTGGCTCTGGGGAATGACGGCGGGATGCGCCCAGGCGGGGCGGGAGGCGGAGTTGCAGCGGAGAGGCGCGAGCGGTTGCGCGTAGGGGGCGGGGGAGGCAGAGTAATAGCTAGCGGAAGGGGAATAGTGGAAGCGGTCCGCGGAACAGGGGGGGGAAGCGGAGGCGGAATAGGGGACGCGGGGGATAAAGGCGCGAGGGGAAGGCGACGCGGGGGATAAAGGCGCCGCGGCGGCTGCGGTGAGCGGAAGATCGAGGCGGAAGGGCGAGCGGCGGAAAAACGGATCCGCGGAAGGCTGGGCGGATTCGAGGTATCGCGACATGAGCCACTGGTGCGTTTTGTCGTGACCCGCGCCGGCCGCCGCGGCGTCACTCACGGACACGGACCGCGCGTGAGCTGCTACGTTGCTGCCTACAGCGGCGCGGCTGGCGACGCCGCTGCTTCCCATTACTCGCTCTGCAGCTCCTGCCTCGCATGTTGCACTGTAACTATTGTTCGAAACCTTCGGCGCCGCATGTCCCGTCGCATGTCCCGTTGCGCAAGCGGTGGGCCCAAGTTCCGCGGATCCGTCGCTCTCAGCGCGCGCCGTCACCGTCGCCACGCCGTGCGCGGCTCCGCGCGCCGGGTCTGCGCCTTCCGCGGTCTTCTTCACCGCGACGCGTCGCTCAGCGTCTCTGCTGCGGCTGCTGCTGCCGCCGCCGCTGCTGCCGCCGCTGCCGCTGCTGCTGCTGCTGCTGCTGCTGCTGCCGCCGCCGCCTTGCGACGCGGTTCTTGCGCCCATCGCTTCTCGGGCGGCCAAGATTTCGACAATCATTTGCTCGGATTCGGGGGAGCCTAGATCTGAATAGGACTCGCTATTGTCCGAATCCGAGTCGTACGCGTTAGAGTCATCTGAAGAGTCCTCGTCCTCGCTACAAGACTCAATGGTCACCGCCCACAAAGGAACCGACTTTCGCATCCCTGCCGTGCACCCTTCGCCGCTTCCGCTGCGCGGGGGGCGCCAAAGCGGGGGACGCCCCCCCGACGGCGCGATGCGCGCGATTGGGGGGAAGCATGAGCGCGGCTGCGGAGGCGCCAGATTCACTTCTGGAGCAAACCTAACAGGCGATTCGAAAAATTGCGATTTTTAGAAGGATGCGATTTCAAAGTTAGCTCTGATGCTTCCTAGGACAGTGCTGTAATGCGTTCTACTATTCGCTTATTTAGGCCGCGCCGCGCTGGCAAAGATTGGCATGTTAGAAGAATCGACGGAAGCGTGAATGTGGCCTCTCCTTTTCAGGCTTTCGGCATAACCACTTCCCGTCTCTATAAACCCCAGAAAAGCATAAAGTTCAGTGGAATGGGTTGACGCAACGGGTTGACATGGTCCGTCGAGAAAGGCGCAGCTGAAGGAGCGCTGCCTGGAGCACGGCGCCTGCCAGTGGAGTTTACGGGATTCCAGGCCAGAGACATATTTGTAGGGGAGCGCTTTACGGACGAATTTCACAGGTTCGTGGACACGCTGGTGCTTGCAGCGGGAATCACAGCCATGCCCCATAATTAGGTGGGCTATGCCCTAACACGAGGTGTAATTTAAAGGGTACAAGCGGGTGACGGGTAATCTTCTAAACGACTCTGCTATTCCAAGGTTCTACTGTCCAAAAGTAAGCTATCACGGGGTATTTTATGATGGTAGTGTGCCGAACATCCGAATTTCCTGCCACAGCCTCGAAACTGTTTCATTACAGAATCATACCTCTCCCAGGGTTTCCCGCTCTTCAGTGACCTATTAGCGGAGGAGCACTTCAGGCACGGTGGTGCTAGCAGCGGATTCATAGCCAGGCCCCATAATTAGGTGGGCTATGTTTTAGAAAGAGGTGTAATTTAAAAGGTACAAGTAAGTGATAGGCAAGTTTCAAAATGACTCCGTTATACGAAAGGTTCTATTGTCCAAAGCTAAGCTGTGACGAGGTAATTAAATGACGGTGTGTGTCGAACATCCGAAGATCTTTCCACACCCTTGAAACTATTTCGATTACATAATTTTACCTCTCCCAGGGAACCCGCGGTTCGGTGATATATTTGTGGAGGAGAACTTTACAAAACGAAATGACAGGTTTGTGGATCAGGCACGATGGTACTTGCAGCGGAGTCTTAGCCAGGCCCATTATTAAGTGGGGATTGATTCCAAACGAGACATGTTTAAAAGGGTACAAATACGTGACGGATAATCTTCAAAACAATTCCGCACTACGAAGGCTCTACTGTCCGAATCTAAGCAAAACGAGGTATTTTAATGACGATGTGTGTCGAACATCGACACCCTTCAAATTGTTTCATTTATATTTTTTTACCTCTCCGAGGGGCCCCACTCCCAGGGAATCCCGCCCTCCCACTCTACACCGCAGTTGACGAGTTCGCAAATGATTTGGGCAGGAAAAGTAACCAAAAACGCGTTTCTTCCCTCGATTCGGCGAGCCGCTCACGACATTGTGGTGACGCGGTTTGAGGGACGAGGTTGAGGATTTCATGGGGATTACTGACACAGACAGCATCAGGTGACTGCGGGCAGAATCAAAAGTCTCAGAGTCGAAATAGACCGTGAAGTTTTCGCCGTCCAAATCGTGTATAGGGACGACGACGTCAACTGCGTGCAGTACTCCATATACTGCGTCACCTGTTTGCGCTGAGAGTACTCAGCCGATTTAGAAATTAGCCCAACATAAAATGAAGGGTGTGAAACAAGAGGTGAGCTCCACAACCCAAGCAATTCAAAGAGAACGCAAGTACGGAACATACAAAACAATGCACAATTGGCTACTATACAATGTACTGTATATATAGTACTACATTCGAAATCTAGCCTCAGCCTCCTCGACGACCTAGTGGTACGGAAAAAGAAAGTCAACCCAACCAAACTTCGTGCAGGCTCGCTCGTCAACACCTCAGCACAATTCCACACTGCTCAAGCTGTCCTGTTTCTGTGAGTTACTCAACAATTGACGAATTAAACAAAGCTTAGTGAGGTTGGATTCATCTGCGCCTTGAGCATCCAAACACCCATGCTCACACCCCTCACCAAGCACATCACCCTCACACTCCACTCTCCTTGTGTTGCCAGAGCCACTGGTCAAATGGACACTGGTTACAGCCTGTGCCTGGTGAAAATGCTGCTGCTGTTGCTGCTGCTGCTGTGGTTGTTGAGCCTCCCTGCTACTACAGCTGGTGCTGCTGGTGCTGGTACTGGTCTTCCAAGGGGCAACCCAGGCAGCTGGCCAGTAAGGGGAGGAGGTGAGCGGGGGTATTGTGGGATGAGAGAAAGAAGACGTGGGGGTAATTGGGGAGTTGCTCCTTGGTGTGGTGGCTTTTGGGCTGGTGCTTTTAGGAGTGGTGCTTTTAGGAGTGGTGCTTTTAGGAGTGGTGCTTTTAGGAGTGGTGCTCTTAGGAGTGGTGCTTTTAGGAGTGGTGCTCTTAGGAGTGGTGCTTTTAGGAGTGGTGCTCTTAGGAGTGGTGCTCTTAGGAGTGGTGCTCTTAGGAGTGGTGCTTTTAGGAGTGGTGCTCTTAGGAGTGGTGCTCTTAGGAGTGGTGCTCTTAGGAGTGGTGCTCTTAGGAGTGGTGCTCTTAGGAGTGGTGCTCTTAGGAGTGGTGCTCTTAGGGGTACAGCTGCGGAGACTGGCACCATTTGGTGTGCTTCTAGGTGTGCTTCTTTCAGGGGTGCTACTCCTGGGCGTAGTGCTTCTAGGTGTTGTGCTCTTAGGGGTGGTGCTCTTAGGGGTGGTGCTAGTGGGGGTTGTGCCTCTTGGCGTTGTTGTGCTTACAGGGGTGGTGCTCTTAGGGGTTGTGCTTCTAGGAGTGGTGCTGGACGGGTGGGTGCTTGAAGGGGGTGCGCCTACAAGGGTGGTGACAGTAGGGAGGGAAAAAGTAGGCTGAGAGTCCCTAGGGGCTCTGCTGCTCTGGGGGGTTGAACCCCTGAAATCCTCCCTGCGCTCACCGCCCCCTCCACCGCCCCTTTCAAAGCCCCTGTTAAAGCCCCCTTCCAAGGCTCCTTGAAACCCGCTCTTAAAGCCTCCCCCAGGGATCCCCCTCGGCGTCCACCTAGGGGTTTTCCTCTTGGACCCCGCAGGACCCATCCCAACTCCTGACCCAAGCCCTGCTGCCATGCGAGGGGTTTTCTGATTGGCCTGGCTTCCAGCTTTCTCGTAGTATGCTGCCAGGTCTTCTGGTGTCATGATTGGCTTGGGCGACATGCCACGTGGCAGCTTCCTATTGGCCGCTGGGCCTGGCGTCAGGGCCGGCGCCGCCCGTGCTCCTCCTGCTGCTGAAACAGCTGCTGGTTTGAAAAATGAGCACCCCCTATAGTCACGCGCAGACATAGCGCCACGCCTTAACAGTGCACGCTCCATATAATCACCATTACGTCTCCCCTCCACCCTCTCCTCCACCCTCTCCTCCCACTCCTCCTCTTCCTCCTCCTCTTCACCGTTGGGAATATCCAAGGGAATGGCCACTCTTAAAGCCATACTACCACCCCAAAGCTTCCCTCCATCCAACCCTACAGTACCGGCTAACATGCCACCCTCACTCCTGCTTTCTGCCTGCAAGCCTTGCAAGCAAAGCCCCTGCTGTTGCGGCCGAACAACGGTTGGGCCTGTGAGTCCCTGCTGTTGCAACTCCTTTTCCTCCCCAACCTCCTCACCCTTCTTTGCCTCTCCAGCCTCCTCAGTATTTTCACCAACTCTGGACTTGGTCCTGCTTCCATCCTCCTTCTGCTTGTGAGTCGACTCAAAAGTTTTTTCACCAATTCTGGCCTTGGTGCTGCTTCCATCCTTCTTCTGCTTCCTCTTCTCCTTCCTCTTCTTCTTCACACCCCCTTCCGTCGTCTGACATTGCGAGCCCTCCTTACTAACCTCCTCACCCGCTCCCTCCCTAACTCCCTCACTCACTCCCTCACTCACTCCCTCACTCGCACTATCTCGTGGATTCGGCATGAGTGCCCCATCCTCTTCTCCTCCCTCACCTTCTCTCCCTCCTGCTTTCTGCTTCTTCTTCCTCTCCTTGCTTGTTCTTCCTCTTGCCAGGTTTCCTTCTTTCACCTTCTCCTTTCCAGCCTCTTCAAGCTTGTCGCCCTCAACATTGTCCACTTCACCTTCACTCTCCTTCTTCATCTTCCTCACCTTCTTCTTCTCCTTCCCTCGCTTTGCCGGCTTCGTTGCTCCCTTGTGTGTGCTGCTGCCTGCCTCCTTCTTGCTCTCATTTGATACATCACTATCATCATCAGCACCACCACCACCGTCACCAGCACCATGATCAACACCACCACCACCACCGGCATCACCATCAGCACCACCACCATCAATATATGCTGTGCCATCACTGGCACCACCACTCGCTTCCAATTCGAGCACTCTGCAGGCATATCCCGACCCAATAGTTCTCGACCGCAGCAGCTGCACCAACGGAACCTCCTCTTCTTCCTCCACCCCCTCCTCTTCCCATGCCTCTCCATCCCCATCAACCCCATCCTCCCTATCCTCCCCATCCTCCCCATCTTCCCTATTCCCCCTATCTGTGCCAAGGGCAGCATGTGTGGTACCTGCAGCAGAAGAGATGGAAAGGGGTCCTTCCTGTTCGAAGAGGCAAGAGCAGTAGCTCACCCCAGCAGTAGCAATGGTTTTCGATCGAAGGAATCTCGGCTCTTCTTCTTCTGCTTCTGCTGTTTCCTCGTTCACAGTCACACGCCCCCCCGCACTCACTTCTGGAAACCCCAAACCCATTCACTCTCTGCTGCACCTTAAAAAGAGGCACCCCATATTCATTCCTGTTCTCCTCTTCCCGAAATTCTAGCCGCCACCCCCCTCCTCCTCCTCCTCTCCTCGCCCTCTCACCTCCTCCCGCTCCTCCTCTTCCGCCTCCCCCTCCCCCACTTCCTCCTCCTCCTCCTCCGCTTCCCCACCCGCCTTTCCACCCACCCCCTCCCTC